TCGCTACCATCCGAAGTGATGACACCTGCACTGGATGGCTTCCGCAGTTGAGGCCGTGCCCGTCTGCCATTCGCACCTGTGGGTAGGATCTCGTCCCATAAGACTCCAATCGAGGCGAGGTCTTCTCGAAGTCGGTCGGCCAGAGCGGCGGCGGCGAGGCAGAAGAGTTCTCGAAAGATCATGTCATAACCCTCGATCATCTCACCATGCTCGCTCACAAGTTGGATGCCGTGGCGCCCGTCCTTGTGGGTACGAGTATGTGGGAGCTGTGAAATATGCTGCTTCATTCCGCCAACAAGGCTCGATATCATGCCCCAGTTCCTTGATGCTTGGAACATCCAATGGAACAAGGGGTGACCGATACTGAATCCCTCCTTGGTATTCTGCGCTGGTCAGCGGTCGAACTACGTGTATAATGAAGCTTCGATCTTACCTTTTCCAAAAAGGAGTCGGTAACAACCGTACTGGGAATGTATCCATCTGGGTCGACGAGGATTCTCCCTGATTTGTCGAAAACGGCGGCAGCAAGTGTGATCTGCTGGGCGCGGAGGGCTGATCTCCTCATGTTTCTCGCTCTGAGGATGGCCGACACTGCGATGATGAAACAGGCTCCCAGCGACTTCTCAAGGTTAGCAACATCCGCCCGAGGTCGAGCAAAGCCATAGACTTACCAAGCAGATGACCACAACCACCGTGGCAGTCCTCGACGGCTCATTGCCCTCGGGCTTGATCTTGACCAGACGGTAACGGGTTCCTACGGCGGCACACCAATGCATTCCCGATACCGCACCGGCGAGCACCACCGCCGAGATGACTCGCTTCCACCATGAGTTGGCCCACATGGCTCTGAAGACGAAGAACATGGCCAAGGCAACATTGCTCGCCACGACGGCGATGATGGAAGATCCCACGACATAGGCAGGTCGATAAACGCATGTATAGTTGTCGATGGAGGCGTTACCGAGGTAGTGCATCCCACAGACGGCAGTGCCACAGAGGACACCACCACTGATAAGCCTCCACCATGAAACGGTATTGTTGGTGCCAACGGCGATGAAGGCAGTCAGGAGGACTAGGATGGGAACGAAGAATGAAACGGCAGTGAATCCACTCGAGTACGCAACTTGCATCTCCGGCTCCCCGTTGGCGAGATCGATAGCTCGGTTGCCGATGAAATGCTGCGAGACGGAAAGTTTGGTAAGTCATGGTAGGTGATTAAACATGGGCAGCACGGTTACCCACCATACACCAGATGGACACTCCCCCCATAGTAACGGCCGAGCTCATAAGTAGGAGACTGTTATGGTCAATGTCTTGTCTGATGGGGTTCTAGACTCGACAATGTCGAGGGAGAGGCGTACTGATTAAAAAGACCCCGAAGGCCCGTCCGTCGGTTGATGAGCTCGAGCGTCGAGCCAGCACCGACAAGACTGACGACGTAGCTAAGGGCTACAAAACCGGCATTGTAGCTCTGGGGCACGATGTGGCCCTGATACTCACGAAGCAGGTCCTGGGCAGACATGGTGGAAAGGAGTGGCCCGAGGGGGAGCAACTGCGAGTTACTGCCGCCGTGCTGAGAGAAGAAGACGATCCTTGACCCGAGGAGACGTGACGGGAAACGGGAGGTTCTTAACCGACACATACATGCCAGGGACCAGGCATTTGCGCATTGCTTCTGGTGGAGTTTTGCCATATCGGTCTAGCCACTGCTCATTCGCATTCACCTGAGGTGGGTTGCCCATCCAGCAGTCAGTTGGGGCCTCTGGGTTTACCCCAAGGGAGCTAGATGCACATCGAGTGCTCACTCTGTGACTGGCACTAACACAACAAGACGTGGACATGGGGGCTAGTGTGATGGGCTTGGCGCTCAATCGGGGGCCGTCGGAGCTGGACCACAGATGCGATCTCTCCTTGGACTTGGCCAATAGAGGCAAGATTGCAGCACAGCCGTGGCTTGAGGGCTGCGGCGCTGGATCAAGGCGAGGGCACTAAATCAAGCCAAGAATTCGTACAACGGGCGCGGGATACCTTGATTAGTGTCGGCAAACCTGTCAACATGCCTCGTCAAGTCACTAAGGTGACGGGGTGGCTCCGCTGGGGAGTGACAAAAGCTCCGATCACTGGAAGATGCTTCGTCTGGCCAGCGCAATTGGATGGGTGCTTTCTTGTGAGATGAAAGGAGCACCCCCCAGGTCCACGCCTTGGACTAACAATGATGCAAGCCCTCTCTAGGCCAGGTCCACGTACCTGGGCTGGGGTTGGGACTCGAGGCCTTGGGCCGGAGGTTTTGTCATGTCTTTTCTTTTCTTTTCCCTCTGCCTTCCTGTCAAGGCTAAGTGAACTAGGGAGTTGAGAGCTGAGAGCGGGGAGGCCAACATGGACTGGGACAATGCTGCAGGGAGAGCGGGGAAGACGGGAGAGGCCAATGTCTGAGAAACAAGCTGGCCCTTGGATTCCTGTCGCTGCTATTCGTCAACTTCGGGCACCTCGGGAGTTGAAAAGACAAGCTTGGCATTGCACAAGAGGTCCAAACAGCACTAGCCATGACGAAGGTCAAGCGGCTGCTGTCCTCTGAGGGTGGTCATGAGCTATCGGGCAAGCACCACCTTGTCAAGGGAGTCCTTGAATGATGGGATGGCAAACACAAGAGAGGAAAAAGAAAAACACAATGACATACAAGGCACATTGAAGGGGGGGCTGAAAGCGAGAGGGAGAAAAAAAAAACAAGGACAATATGCCCCGGCATTATGGGTGTTGACGTGGCTCCCGTGCCTTTCACGACGCTTCCGCTTGTGTCCCCGAATAGAAGCCAGGATATCTCTGCACGGGCTCTCCGATCCAGGTACACAGAAAAGGAAACGATGTCACGATGAAGTGATGTGTGGAACCTGCTGGAGACGGCTGAGGGTCCGCCCAACCATGCCGTCGGGAGATTGCAAAGACGATATCCGTAGAGCTTGGCCTGTGAAATCCGGAGGACAGGGATCGTTTTGGGTTGAGATTTTGGCAGCTCGACGTCGATCATCACAGTGACCCTGACTGCTGGGAACTCTGGGTGGATGATCTGATCTGTATCAGCATCAACATCTGACACTCGGTACCGGCCAGAATTGCAGAAAACGATGGGGCCCGCCGCAGCAGGCAGGGTTGGTTTCTGTGCTCGTTCATGATCTGCACGCTGTGGCTTGCTGAACGACGCCAAGGCCTGTGATGGTGAGGGTTGCTTGGTGATGTATTTGAGATTGGGCATTGTTTACACGAGGAAGCGCTGACAATAGGACAGAGGCCCTCGAATCGGGGGGGGGGGGGGGGGGGGGGGGGTTCACAAAGCCTGCATAATGTGGTAATTGAAATGGCGCCTGGCGTCAAAACCTCTTGTGTGGGAGCGGCGGAACCTAGTCGAGGCCAGCCGATTTGAAATCGAGATGCAAAAAGTATTATACCGCGCGTCCGGTCGGGATAGATAACAAGGCTGTTCTGGAGTCTTGCTCTGCCCACACTCTCTCGTGCCGTCTGCACCGCATGTTTCGGAAGCTCGTGGTTGATGCGCATCTTGGGAGCGGGACGCGCCAAGAGTTAGAACAGCGCGTCGATCCGAACGACTGCTCGGTACTCGGAATCTTGTCTAAGGGCTCAGACCTCTCCTGGAATGGGCATCAGAAACGGCCAGCCCAAAGCTTGGTAGAGGGGAGGGTCAGCGACTGTCAGTTCCTGGATCTATTCGCTCCTCTCTCCCTCGCCCCCGGATCTTTTTCCCTTTTCACATCTCCCTCCATGTGCTGGTTGGAAAGACGCTAGCATCAGAGTTTTGGTTCCTGGCGCTGGTCACGTAGGTACCTTAGGTATGCATTGCTGCTATTGTTGGTCCAAGCCTCAGCCCCGTCCAACAAGGCTCATTCAGGTCCATTCTGAAGCGCCACAAGACAGGCCTCGGTCATTAAAGTTCTCATTGAGCGGGCAATCTCAGCTTTTGTTGGTGAAAAAGACGTGCTGAGAGTCTAGCCCGGCCAGCGAACCTCGGACATGGATGAGGCGAACATTGTCGGTGGCTGACTTGCAAGTTCTCTTCCAACTTTCTTCCTTGTTTCATTTTTTTTTTTCTTTCCTTTTTTTTTTCACGGCTGCCCCCAGCCCATGTCGTGGCAACGGCATCCCGCGTGAACTTGTTTCCCGTGTCTCGAAACCCTCTGTCACTTACTTGGCCATGGTACAACATGGCCGGCTCAAGGCAGCGTGCTTGCTTCTTCTGCTGGGCCCGAGTGCTGGGTGGATGGAACTCTCTCAGCGCTGGTCCCGTGCTGTACGCTTGGCCGTGTCTGCTCCATAAGAACTCGGTCTCGACCTCACTCCGCCCTATGGATTGACAGTTTGAGTTTTGCTTTGCTTTGGTGATGGGGGAGGCGATACTGGCCCGTGTGTCCCAGGAGATGATGGATCTGATCTTGATGGTTGATTCGTTAGAGGCGGGTCTGCCCGGGTTTTTTACCCGTCACTTTTTGGCGTATCGCATCTTGAGAAAAAAAAAATGAGATCGAGGGGAGCATTCGGGGTGGATCTTCGGACGCGCGAGCAACTCTCGGTTGATGTCGTGCAAGAGAAAGAGCATGGCCAGGCTCTTAGTGAGCCGAGGCATTCAACTTCTGCAAGGGGCGCCAAGCTCATCCTGTCCTGGTCACCAAACCGCTTAAGGGAGTTCCTCGACCTCCATCGCAAAGCCAAATCGCGCTCTGACCTCACTGCAGGCGAAAACCTTTCCGCATTCACAAAGTCTGACCATTCCCAATGGGCACGTACTCATCAGGAACCCGTGCGCGGCGTAATTCATCCACAAGGTTTCGGCAAGCTTAAGCAACCCTGTTATTCCCTCTCGAGATTGGCGTGGATTCTGATCAAATTTCGGCGCCGCCCTTGCCTGCGTAGATACGTACTTGGGCAGCTCTATCTCCGATAACTGGTCACACTCACACACATCCTTGGGACCTGTCATCTCTCCGTAAGCATCAGGCCTGCTCGTGCAACAGCTCGTCTGCAAGTCGAGCAAGGTAGAAGTGACGAAGCTCAGGGGGCAGCCGCTCAAAGCTCTTGGCTATGCGTGCGACGTCCTGTCTTCCCTTCTCGTACGCCGCCAGATCCCTGTTCCCATACACATCCCGGCCTGTTGAATACCCGCTCTCCAGATCGCGGAAGAAGACGTTGACTGCCACGCTTAGATCCGCCGTTGGGGTCGCCGTGTGAAACCACATGGCAGGGAGGAACAGGACGTCGCCCGGATTCAGCATCGCCTCGTATGGGTGAGTCAACGCTAGCTGGTGCTGGTCAAGGGCAGAAAAGACATCCAGGCTTGAACTTGAGGCACCAGGCGCGAATGCCAGATGCCTGACATCAGTAGGTGGGAAGAGTATCATGCGTTTCGAACCACGAATCTGCGTGTAGACGTTGGCCATGACCTGCGGGGGAAACTGTTAGCCAGTTCATCTCAACCTCTCCAGGGGTAACTCGCATCGTAGTGCAACCACATGTTGGCACGTCCAGATATTCTCAATACGGAGCTAAACAGTCGCTCAGTGATGTAGTTGAGCTCTGTCGGAAGCCGAAAATCTTCTGCGAGGGAGGGAAAGTCCTCAGCAAGATTCGCTGGCGCCTCGGAAGGCTTTTCTTCTGAGAGAGCACGGAGGTATAGGCCCTCTCCCCTTGCTGCCTTGCCCATAAACTCCTTGAACGTCTCAGTGACGTAGCGAAAGTTCTTGGAGTTGAAGTCCAGCTTGCCCGTGGTGGTTTGGGACTCGTGGACGATGACCTACAATAGATGCCCTTAGTACGACCACCTTACACATGATTCTCCGAGCCCACACATAGATTGAACATACCTCTTTTGTCTCGCCCAAACGCTGAACCATATACTCTGGCGTCCACTTCTCCACACATCCGCCTAGGTCCAGACCCTCAATGATGACCGGCTTTCTTTCTTGGATCAGCTTCTCCATTCCGGTTCCCGACTTCAACTGAACGCGCGGGATCGTCGTGATCGTAGCTTTGCCTTGTGGCACGAGTCGGTCTGCTCCATCGGTACTAGGATGTGTGAGCTTGGGCGAATCCGCGTAACCAAGACTCAGTGGCTTGCAGATGGTTGACTGTGGACCAGAAGCGTCAGGCACGACATTCGTAAAGTCAGCCGTGTAAACATTCGTGTCCCAGAATGTTCCCATCGAGAAGCACGTAGCCCCTCCACCAACAATGACAAGACTAGAATTCAAGGAAATAGCCGAAGATCCAACCATAAAGGGCAGTTCCTCAACTTTGTCGCTCAACATCGCCGCAAACGTAGTCAGTCGTCCCCCAGAAAGGGAGACACAGGCAACCGACTGTCCTTGCGAAGATGGGTCTTGTCCGACACCACCGCACAAGACAGTCAGAGGGCCTGTATCAACCGACTGAGCACCAAACACGGACAGCGCCCACGCATGTTTGTCAAAGTCTGTCACACTCTCGAAGTGAATAGATGGCTGGGAGGGTGTGTTAGTAGAGTTAGGCCAACACTTCGTAAACAAACCCACCTCGATACCAGTAACATCAATAGTCCAGATATAAGCATTGTCACTGATTTTCCCATCTTCCATGATGCCTCCACATAGCAAACCTTGGAATGTTCCCGGCTTGCTCGCCACGTCAACTGAAGTGATAGCAGAGGAACCAAAGACAGGGTCGGGAACAACGCCTGATACCGTACATTTAAGCCACCCTTTAACGGGATGGAAGACAAGGTAGTCGGGTGATATCTTGGATGGCCCTGTCTTGCCACCGAAAACTAAAGCCAGAGATGAGTTCGGTAGGCGGATAGTAGAGTGCCTGAAAAGTGAGACTGGAAGGTCAAATGTTTTCTCCCAACTGTTGGAGACTTGGTTGAAGAGCCAACAGTCTGCAAAAGCTCGAGACGGCGAGGCACGGCCTCCAACCAGCAGGACCCCAGAAGATCCAAGATCCGTGAGGGTGTGACACAGCCTCGCGGACGGCCCGACAGGGGCCATCTGGAAAGGTAGGCTGTCCGCTTGAACTGAATACACATCGCAGGAATCAAGCCTTGCACTTATTCCCATCCCCAAGGTGTTGAGTAAGTATTGGCCTCCTTCCGCACTCGTAGCCATCATTGGAGCGCCAAAGCGACGTTTTGGTGCTCCCAGGGAGCCGAGCGCGTTCATGTCCACCTTGACAACCCGTTCAGGGGTAGGCAATGGGCTGTACCGCCCAGTAGCTTGGTCGTTTTTGGGGTAGGCCGTGGCGTGCATGACAAAGTAGTGCCGCGAAAACAGGACAAATTCCTCCCATTCATCAAACGGCTCAATATCGTCGAGTGCAGCCCTTTCGGCCGAACTGAGGAATACCTCGCTGTTCCAAGCTTCCCAGAGGTCCCAAATATCAACATGGCCCCAACCTCGGGTTTCGAACCGCTGCCGCTGGCTTTCAAGAGTCTGGTACTGGTGGACTGACTTGAGCGAAGTGTTGAGCTTGTTGAAATGGCTCAACATGGTTCTTGCAAAGGGATGCTCAGGGCCATGAGGGAGAATTTGTTCAAGGAGGCAGAACTCGGCTATGAATCATCAGTGTTAATACAATGAAGTCTTGAATAAAAAGGGGATAATAGACATACCTTGACCAATGGAGCTAGCCCACTGGATGAGAGCGTCGGCTGACGCTGTGTCCATATAAGTTATCGAAACCTCAGCAACAAACAGTACTGAGCAGTCAGATAGGGGCAGAAATGTTTCGAGGCACTGGCGCAAAGCATCGAGCTCTCGTAGATCGCATCCAATCTGGCAGTACTTGTCACTGCGGAGAAGCACATGGTCTGTATCTTTCTCGCTGATGTAGGGTTCAGGCCCAAGCAGCTCCCTGAGTTCTGGTGTTCCAAGAACGATTGCTCGCTTCTTTCGCATCAAGTCAGGATAGTCGACGTCAAGGAATACAGTGTCTTCGCAGCTGTCTCCATAACGATGGTAACACTGCCAGGGAAGAACATCGCTTTCAGGGAACAGTAAGCGTCTGTGTTTAGGCTGAGCTGGGCTTGGTTACTCACCTTCCGCAACCTAGGTTGATAACAACTTTCTTACGGCCAAGTTTGGAGGATGCGATGAAGTCACGCACAATCACATCAATAGCCCGTAGCCTCAACCAGTATCCCCGGTTGATGAGGGGAGCTCTCCGTTGGAACTTGGGAACGAAGTAGCGGAAAAAATGCAACTCGTGAGGGTAGTAAAGTCGTTCGACGCTCCGCTTAGATACGATGCTACTACTGTTTGTCTAGGGGTACCATCAGAAACCTCTGTCAAAGGACTGCTCAGATATACATGTGCATCTTACTCCCATAATCAGGTCATCGAGCGCCTGAGTCTTGGTCGCCCGTAAGGCGACGGGCTTTTCTTTCACCATATCGGTTGACCTGAGATTATTTTCCGGGAATGTGTCAGACAGGTGACCTTCTTTCGAAAAATTGGTTGACGGCCTGTTGACTCTCACAAGACAGCAAACATTTATTGGAGGTTGTGAAGACTCAGAAAATGCTAGGCAATTGTGTATCGGCGTGCGAGATGGGTCCACCGACAGGGTGCTAACTTGCATCCGGGGCTCTCGTTAGCGCATGTACGTGATGTGTACCGCCTGCCTCCGGGGTCGCTTTCGAAAGGTTGGTTTCGGGATGGCATTGTTTAAAATCGTACAGAATTTTTGTGGTTTTGAAGCGTTCACCAATCGTCTAAGCTGCTAGCAGTTGCCGGTTGTGTAAGGCACTCAGTCACTCAAACCGAGCAGGTGGTAACTGAGGAAGGTTGGTAGCGTGCCTTCCCCCTCCTCAGTCCTCAGCCTCCACCCCACTAGCTTTCCAGGTTCCCTGAGCCCCGACTCTCCGTCCTCCGCCATCACTTTCATCATCATCACCAGTTCATTACTTGGACGTCTATTGTCGCAGTCTCCTCTCTGTCTCGACATTTTTCTTGACACTTATCTTACGCCTACCGCCGATTTTTGTAAAGCTCCGCGATCGCCACGGTCTTGGGTCCGCCAACAGCCGCCGAGAGTTGCCCTGGCGCAGTCCTCATCGCCTGCTCTTCCTCCCAGCCTCTCGATAGCAGCCTAAGCTAGTTCAACCAACACTTGGCTTCACCAACCTCGAGACCGCCTCCTTGGGGCCAGGATCAGCGCGCTGGCCTAAGGTTTCTTGCGCGATTGTTCTGCTTACGGGCTCTCTCGTCGCATCGACCCAAGGCGGCTCTCATCTCGCGACCTCGATTCCACCCAGATTCTCCCCAGGATCGCGACATCGTGTCCGGCCAACCGAACGCATACATCCGACTGAACCTGCCCCGTGCCGACTCCTACCAGCTTTTCATCCCATCATGGCGAACCCAGTACTCAATTTCATCACCTTCAACCAAGACCACAGCTGTCTTGCTGTTGGTAGGTCTTGCGCCTGGCCGGTCTTCGCTTCGTGGTCCAACTAACCTGGGGTTTCCTCTCGCCGACAGGCACTTCCAAAGGGTTTCGCATATATCATACAGATCCTTTCTCGCGCATTTTTAGTAGCGATGAGAACAATATCTCCATTATCGAGATGCTCTTCTCGACCTCTCTAGTTGCGCTCGTCCTCTCTCCCCGGCATCTAATTATACAGAACACCAAGGTATGTGCCTTGGATGCCCATCTTAGACAACATAGCTGATTAGTCCTTCAGAGAGCCTCTGTTATTTGCGAGCTCACCTTCCCTTCTGCTGTTCTGGCTGTCCGATTAAACCGAAAACGCCTTGCCGTCGTCCTCGAGGAAGAAATCTATCTGTACGATATTAGCAACATGAGCCTTCTGCATACCATCGCCACGTCGCCCAACCCAACCGCCATATGCGCCTTGTCGCCTTCTTCCGAGAACTGTTTCATAGCTTATCCGCTACCGAAACCTCGGGAGGATCCCGATGCGCGCCGACCTGCTCACGCTCCTCCACAGTCGACCTACGTCTCCCCTACGTCGGGCGAAGTCCTCGTCTTTGATACCGTTGCGCTGAAGGCTGTTAATGTCATCGAGGCTCATCGTTCGCCGTTGTGCTCTATCTGTCTCAATAATGAGGGAACTCTGCTTGCCACGGCTAGTGAGACGGGGACTATTATTCGTGTGTTCTCAGTGCCCAAGGGCCAGAAGCTCTACCAATTCCGACGCGGCACCTATCCTTCCACCATATACAGCATGTCCTTCAACCTCAGCTCAACTCTCCTCTGTGTATCCTCAACCTCGGATACAATCCACATTTTCCGCCTCGGGGCACCCCCTGGAAACACGACACCAGCTGGTGCGCCCATCGAACCTCTTGGATCTCAACGGCAGGACCGCTGGTCACGCGCACGGAGTTATGATGACCCCGAGTCTCCGGGTAATAGTACGGCAGACTCGTCTAAGAACGAGTCGGTCGATCTGATAGGGCCTGGAAACAACGGATCAGGCAGCAGCAATTCTGGGCATCGAAGGCAGAGTGGCTCGTTTAGCAGCATGCTTCGCCGTTCTTCACAGATTATGGGCCGCGGTGTTGCCGGCGTCATGGGATCCTACTTGCCGCAATCCGTCACAGAAATGTGGGAGCCCCTGAGAGACTTTGCTTATATCAAGATCCCCAAGTCCACAGTTGCGCAGGGTCCTACGCGGGTGATGCCTGCTGGGCCCTTACGCAGTGTTGTGGCGATGAGCAGCAGCAGCCCCCAAGTCATGGTTGTCACTAGTGATGGCGGTTTCTACGTCTACAATATCGATATGGAGCATGGCGGAGAGGGCTATTTGGTTAAGCAATTCTCGTAAGTGCCCCTGTAGCTTTGACTCAGTTGTTGGCATGATCTGACTGACATTTCCCCAGCGTCCTGGACGATGATAACCGCGATGAACGATAGGAGATGGTTTCGCTGAACACCCCTCATCACTGAATGGCAGAATTACCTATTTGGCGTTTTCCCTCTGTGGGGGTGGACTTGTGTTTTGGTCCCAAGTTCTTCTTTTGGGACAAGGTATCGTCTTCTTAAATACCCTTTACTTGCTATTCCTATTCTTTCTCCTGTTGGCCGGTTGGCGAGGAGAGGTGTTTGTGTCTTTTGAGTAGGCGTCACTTCGCGTATCAGGCTGGGGAGTTTATACATGTCACAAATAATCAACCAGTAATAGCTCGTCTCGTCCTTCGAAATCAATAATTCAACCATGACAACGGTGTAGTTGTAAAAGCAGATACATAACATCGGTCCGTGGCTCTCATAGCCGTCGTGATTCATCAACATTCAAACCCAAATCCTTGAAGACGGCAAAAAAGCACATGAGAAAACAGTCTTCTGTCCTGAACGCCACATACACAAACCTGCAGGGACTTTTTCAGACTCGTTAAACAAAGCGCCCGCGTGTTTCCCAATTTCTGGTTCCTGTTGATCTTTCCCGTCATTCGTATGCTGATGACGGTGCGTTCATGACGCCACAGTGTGTAGCCAAGTTCCCCTTGGCGGTAAGCAGTACTCTAAGCAAGCACGCCAGGTGCTTCAACAAGTCCGCGCCCACTATGATGAGAATAGATATGAAGTCGAATATACTGGATGGGTGGCTCAGTCCTCTTGATGCTGGGTCATCCACCGGATCTCCCACTGAATCTAGAGACTCTTTCATAGCAAGTGAAAACAAAAAGGCGCTAATGATGCTCCTTTTCACCTGGAGTAGGGTCGATTCATGAGGGCGATTTCTCGCGCAATCTCTCCCCATTCCAATGTTCTCTTGACCTCAGCGTCAGGGTCACCGTCCTGCTGGAGTGCCTCTTCCCACTTCAAGAGCTCGTAGGCGAATCGCAGGTGCGGTTGAATAATTACATTCAGTCGGCGGGCTCGGACAAAGCAATATGCGTGAGGGAACGACATGTCTTTCGCACGCATCACCTCGGCGATGCAGATGGTGGCACTGCGGGATACTCCCACCCGACAGTGCACCAAAGTCGCAGTGCCATTTCGTCTTCCTCGGTCTATCGAAAGATGGTCAGTATGCCTTTACCCCTGTAGCCGTCCTCAAAACTTACCAATAAACTCGAGGCATCGAGTAAATTCATCCGTCAAGGGATCAATGCCATTGTCCTGAACTCCTTGGACCACGCAGACGTTTTCTTCTCCCCATTCTTCCAGGTCACCTTCTCGCCACATCGCCGTTTCACCGACGCTCAGAATCTGAGTGATTCCGAGGGCTTTAAGAAGGTCTGGATTGTTGGCGTGTCCCAAATTGCCCAAGTACATGTAGTCGAGAACGCGGCTTGGGAATGACCCATCAAGAGCACCAAACCAGCTCGGCTCATCCCTCGTCAGGTGAGTGATTTCAGTCAAGCTCAACCCGCTACATACAGGGGATTCCCGGAGCAATCTTGGTGTGATGGATGTCAATAGAGCCACATCAGTTGGATAGGCGAAGAAATTGCGTTTCTTGGTCGTGTGAAGTTGCAGCCACGCCTCTGGGACAGGTAGGCCAGTGCTATAACTAAAGTATGCAATGCCTAGCATGGTCGACTCGGTATAGCCATCGGCGCAATGGAGGAGAATCTTCCGAGGTCGGACTTCAAAGGTTGGATGATCATTGGATGGCATAGGGGAGTCTCCTTCCGCGTCGGTCTCGTTAGTATCCCGCTCAGGTTCAGGATAAGTGCCATGAGAGAGATGGTATATCCATTTACAGGTCTCGAGAATTCCATCTGTCTCGGAATGAGACCATGTCGGTGGCAATATGCTGCCTGACGAGGGGAAGTCGAGGAACCGATGTTTGCCATCGTCGTCGGGGCTCTCTGCAATGAGCTGGAGTGCCAGTGGGTTCAGGCGTCCCAGGTCGCTACACTCGATCAGGATATCAAATGCCTGCTCCTCAGGGCTCCCTTGTTCGGGTGTAGGGCCCATAAATACGTTCTTCGAGATTTCCGAGGCCTCAGTCATGGCCCACATCTCCCGCCTTTCCTGGTTGAAAAAGTCGATGACATTGCCGGTCGGGAGCCCCGATGCGTCGATGGCCACGATCTCAGGGTGATTTTCCTGGAATTTCGAAAACGGGCTTGTACAGACAAAGGTGTTGTACTCGGGCAAGCAGGCCCCCAGAGCTTCATGCTTCTCCCGCCATCGCTTCTGTGCGGCCGCAATATCCCACGCTAACTTGCGTGTCTTTGCCAAATCTCGAGCTCGACCATAGACGATTATATCTGACATGACAGCGCTTTTCACTGTCTGAATCTGAAAGTTTCGGACAGAAAAGCCTTCTCGCGGATCCGCCTCGATGAAATCGGGATTGCTACCCGTCTGAAGAATCTCATTGGGGGCAATCGCCCCCTTGAGTCGTGCATAGCTGAGGTCGCCATCAGCCTTGACAAGAGTGACGGTCCTGAGGCATGAAGGCGTCCTTCTCAGAGCACGTCGTCGAGCGGCGAAGAATGACTGCTGAACATGGTTCTGGGGATGGAGACCATGAAACCACGGAAAGACGAGGGAAGGGTCGGGCAATGGCTGGCGGGAGGCAACGTCGAGCGCCTCAGCTACCTTGGGTGCATCAAGTTCAAAGATGGAGAGTCCGCCAGACTCAAGTCGGCTCAAGTCATCGAGTGGATAGAGGGCCGAAATCTGTCGAAGTCGATCATGAGACGGCGGAGACGGTGGCGGAGTATCTGGCTCATCGGGGCGAGCGGGGCCAGTGGGACAGATGGGGATATGCTTATTCGGAACAGGAACAGAACATGGCGAAGAAGAACTGGTACTGGTTTCGAGGGAGAGAGGCGGGGTGATGGTTGACGAGGGACGATGGGGCGGGATAGGCCGGGCGAGGGCGACGGTAGTCATGTCAGCGACAAAAGAAGAATTATGTTGAATAGTACCCTGATGTGAAGCTGTGTCGGACGGCGTACTTCGTAAAATGTATGGGTAAGATGCAGTGTGATATACAAGAACAGGGCAGTCGGCCAGACACCTTGTCGAGCAGTTGGGTCAGATGATCAAACAGCAGTTGAGGTCGTATTCAAATCAGAGGTGCAGGAGATTCTCGGCCTCAGCCACAGGATGCTGGACGAGCGAGAGTCAGGGACTTGGATGCAGATCGAGAGATTGCAAGATGGGACGCACACAGCTTATTTCTTGCTGGAGGCGGGCTCTTGTCGCACATGCCTGAACCCAGGAGAACAGAGAAGGCACGAGAAAACCAGCCACAGAGTCCCCGAATGGAATGGGAGCGACAACAAGGGAGGCAAACGGGAGAGTGATCCAGAGAGCAGGGGAACGGTGCGAGACTGGGCAGATGTGCGCTTGTGATGGGTGGTACAAGGAGGCCCTTCCAGGTGCACAATGCCGTGGGCGCCGCAGGAGCAAGGCGAAGAAAGCGAACCTATATCGACCGATGGATGAATCGAGGTTATCGCGATGCAACAAAGACGACAGGAGCAATGGATGCTTTGATGGCAGCAACGAGATCACGAAGCTCTGACGATCGCCGAGGCTTGGCAAAGCGAATCGACCGATTGCCCGACTTGGGAGGAAAGAAATGGGAATTGAGATGGCAACCGACAACGACGAGACGGGAAGCACAAGGATATTGATAGTGGTGACCCAAAAGACGCAGATGATGGCATGGATGAGAAAAGAGAAGATAAGGACGACGACGGAAGAGAAGGGAGAGGGGAACGGGTCACGGCCGGGAGTCGGGGAGACGAGGTAGCGGCGGAGGGTGTCTGTCGTTCGTGGTGGTGGTGATTTGGTTTTGGCTCTGGTTTCGGCCTCGTTTGGCCTGCCCAGTTTGCGCGTTGGTTGGGCGATTTGGAGATGGCGGAGGCAGATGACGGGTGGTGGATGGTAGATGGCGAATGCTGATAAGGGCGGTGGTCCCTTGGTTAGCCAGCGATATACAGTGTCAGCGCCCTCTAGTCGAGGGCAGACGCACGTACACGCATGTACATGCCTCCCAAGGTACGCCCAGCCATTAACGAGCGACGCTCAACCAGAGGGCACCAGATACGGCGGCGTTTGGATGGATCATCGACCATGGATCACTCAAGAGAACATGCAATGCGGTGATAGTGGCCGACCAGTGACCTGTGAGCCAACCCCAGTGGTGGCTGATGACCGCGTGCACGGGCCAGTTGGGCGAGACCGGCGCCGGAGGGAAAGCGGGGAAGAGGCGCCGAGTCGGCATGCCCATTGGCGGGAGCTTGCATTCAAGAGCGGGGGACCTGCTACAGCGCGCGCCATGCTTAGACGATACTGTGTGCAATCGGACCATCGAGCACTGTACACCGTGCGATGAGATGCTGCCCAGGCGCCTGAGTTTTGGTGCAGCTCATCTCCCTCGGACGGGACCTTGAGCACGTGAGCAATTTCAGTTTCACAACGCGGCAGAGCCGTCGGAGCGGCTAGCCAGGGGCCTGATCAGTGCACCCATGGACCAAAAGAAGTGAGGTGATGTTGTATTAATGTGAGGCCAGCTGTGAGGCGAGGTAATGTGAGGTGACGCCTCAGGGAGATGGAGACAGCTCCTACGGGACAAAGTCAAGGCAAAGCCGGTGCATTAGCGCGATGCGCTACGGGGGCTCCCATGCCTGCTTTCTCCACTCGACGAATAAACACCAACCGTCTCTTACCAACTGGGAGTTTGATACACGACTCCCAGCGCTTGAGTTGCTCCGTCGTCGCCGAATGCTGATCTTTGTGCGGTTCTGTGCGATGTCTGAGTCTTGTGTCAAATCCCTGTTAACTCAAACTTGCTCACAATGTAGGAACCACTGTGCTCTAGTGTTGAACTCTGACGGGGATATTCATCCATGGTCGAATATGTAAGACAGAACGAGGCTATGTCAAAGCAGACCCCGCAGCAACAGCTACACCATTGTCCCCCGCGCACGCACAGATCATGACAAAGAGTCGGCAAATACTCTTGGGTTAGGTGTGCTAACGTCAGGAGCCGCATCACAAGATCAAAAACGTCCTGACAATCAGCTGGCTGGACAAGCGCCCTTCTCCAGACTCCCCACCTGAACCCGCGACCCCGGCATCCCACAAGCGTCCCCTTAGTTTAGTAGCGTAACATCACGAACTACCGGCATGGCGTTGCCAGATCGACCTGTCTTGTCTTGCCAGAGCCAAGTGCGAGTTGCTTGAGACCGTTGTTGACCAATCTAGTTAGACCTACTGTATTTTCTAGTTGAAGGAAGACAATGAACACCATATCACAGACATGTCCAAAAGGCATGGCCATCTAAAACCAGTACACCAACGTCAAGTGCCTCCTTGATGATGTTGCATCAGCCCCTCACTCCCTTGCAACCAGGTTCAGAAGATCTTGATATCGCTATCTCGTCCAGATCTCACTTGTCAACCACCACCTGTCTTATCAGGGGCTAGCAGCCATAAACAACGAGAAGTTCTTCCAGAACAGGTTCAACCTCCACTAGAATAATCGCGCTAATGACTGGACCAATGGGCACAAGACTAAAACGCTTGCCCATTCATCCGATACGGAGTAGTTTATAAAACCCTGGCACACCTACGGTGGACGTTGTTGAGCCAATCTCGCAGTCTCAAGATTGGCGAAACAAGGAACAACGAAGAATATTTGCTAGTGACTCATTTCTACTACGTTCTTTATCTCCAGAGTTCTTGCGCGCTACGCCTATGAGATAACCCTACCTGTCCTAGCGTGTTTTGTGCCGAGGTTTCTCTCAGTTGCTCAAAGCATTAATCCTTGCACGCCTTGTCCCACACCGAAGGTTTCCACACCGAGAAACGCTCGGTGACATCAGCTCTCTCCCACGTGACTTCGCGACAGCTCGCTTCCATCACAAAGCCTTCCATCACGCCTCACGTCTTCTGCCTAGCCCCGAAATCGTCCATCACCATCACCCACGATACGATCGCTCACCGAGGGCATGCCCCGGTGATCATATCTTGAGCCATCATGAAGTTCAACATCGAGTACGGTCGCTCTGATTTTCCCGTGCTTCCTCTCTTTGCTCACACTTTTTAGTGACTTGCCCGTGCTATTTCCCTATCCCAGGATATATCCAGGTATGACCCAGCTTGTTTGCCCAAGTGCATTAAATACTAACTGCGGTGACTCTAGAGCAATATGCGTGAGTTCTTGATGTTTTATCATTCAACTCATCAATGAAGCTAATGATAGCATGCCCCCAGCTACATGTGCGATCTCAAAAGTACTTCATCCTTTCTTTCCATCTCCAAGCCATCGATTACTAACCTTGTCACTTTCTGATCAGAAACTCTGGATGCCGGGGGTCACTGTGTCCTAGAGATGCCTTCGGGTACTGGCAAAACTGTGTCCCTGTTGTCGCTCATCGTGGCGTATCAACAGTACATGCCAGAGAAGCGAAAGCTCATCTATTGCTCTCGTATGTCGTCTTTCCTCCTCTACCCTCCTTCTACTAACATGTGGCTCGATAAGGTACCATGTCTGAGATCGAAAAGGCATTGGTCGAACTCAAGTCTCTCATGAAGTACAGGGCTGAGGAGCTCGGTTACGAGGAAGAGTTCCGTGGTCTTGGCTTGACAAGTCGAAAGAACTTGTGCCTTCACCCATCAGTAAAACGAGAGAAGAGTGGCTCTGTTGTTGATGCTCGTTGCAGAAGCCTTACAGCTGGCTTCGTCAAAGAGAAGAAAGACCGAGGTGAGAATGTAGATGTCTGCGTCTACCACGATGTAAGTTTCCGCTCCCTTTTGACTTCTCATCCGTTTTACTAACACTATACAGAACCTCGACCTCCTTGAGCCTCATAACCTTATCCCCAACGGCGTCTGGTCCTTTGACGATATCATTCGATATGGCGAGGAGCATAAGCAGTGCCCTTACTTCACCGCGCGTCGCATGGTCAGTACCAGTTAAGACTCACGAAATTGTGGTCTTGTACTAAAAATGTTCCAGATGCAATATTGCAATGTCGTCATCTTCTCTTACCACTACCTCCTTGATCCAAAGATCGCTGAAAGAGTGTCGAAGGACTTCTCCAAGGACTGCATTGTGGTTTTCGATGAGGCTCACAACATCGACAACGTCTGCATCGAGTCCCTGAGCACAGACATTACGGAAGATTCGTTGCGCAAAGCGACTCGTGGTGCTCAGAATCTGGAGAATCGGATAGCGCAGATGCGCGACACAGATCAGGAGCAGCTACAAAACGAATATCAGAAGCTCGTGCAGGGGCTCCGTGATGCGGAAGAAGCACGTCAAGAAGACGCCTTCATGGCAAACCCTGGTAAGCTCCACCTCGCGTGTGAGTTCTCAAACCCATGCTAATCATATCGTAGCCCTTCCTGCGGATCTGCTCCAAGAAGCTGTACCAGGAAATATCAGGAGAGCCGAGCACTTCGTTGCCTTCCTCAAGAGATTCATTGAGTATTTGAAGGTAGTTTCCCATGTCATTACACTGCAAAATAGGAGTTAACCCCTTGATAGACACGGATGAAGGTTCGCCAGGTTATTTCGGAAACACCGCCGTCATTCCTAGCTCATCTCAAGGAGCACACCTTCATCGAGAAGAAGCCTCTCCGATTCTGTGCGGAGCGGCTAACATCGCTGGTAAGGACCCTCGAGCTCACCAACATCGAGGATTACCAGCCACTTCAAGAGGTCGCAACGTTTGCGACTTTGGTATCTACCTACGAGAAGGGGTTCCTTCTCATTCTCGAGCCCTACGAATCGGACACAGCCGAAGTCCCGAACCCCATTCTTCATTTCACCTGTCTTGATGCTGCTATCGCTATTCGGCCTGTGTTTGAGAGATTCTACTCGGTCATTATCACATCGGGTACCATCTCGCCGCTCGAAATCTACCCCAAGATGCTTGACTTTTCCACAGTCATCCAAGAATCATACAGCATGACCCTTGCACGCAGGTCATTCTTGCCTATGATTGTCACCAGAGGTAGTGATCAGGCGTCCGTATCGACAAGTTTCCAGGTCCGAAACGAACCCAGTGTGGTGAGAAACTATGGTAACTTGTTGACCGAGTTCGCCAAGATTACACCTGATGGCATGGTTGTCTTCTTCCCCTCATATCTCTACATGGAATCCATCATCAGCATGTGGCAAGGAATGGGCATCCTTGACGAGGTGTGGAAGTACAAACTTATCCTGGTTGAGACACCCGACGCCCAGGAGACTTCGCTCGCTTTAGAGACGTATCGAACCGCGTGTTGCAACGGCAGAGGAGCCGTTCTACTTTGCGTCGCGCGTGGCAAGGTCTCGGAAGGCATCGATTTCGACCATCAATATGGTCGTACTGTGTTGTGTATCGGAGTTCCCTTCCAGTACACCGAGTCGCGAATTCTCAAGGCCAGACTGCAATTCCTACGAGAAACATACCGCATCAAGGAGAATGACTTCCTGTCTTTCGACGCCATGCGACACGCAGCACAGTGCCTGGGCAGAGTCTTGCGTGGCAAGGATGACTACGGTATCATGGTTCTCGCCGATCGCCGATTCCAGAAGAAACGAACTCAACTACCCAAGTGGATTAACCAAGGCCTTCAAGAGGCGGATGTCAACCTGAGCACCGACATGGCCGTCAGCAGTGCGAGACGATTCTTGAGAACCATGGCACAGCCTTTCCGAGCTAAGGACCAGGAAGGCATCAGCACCTGGGGGTACAAGGATCTGATGGAGCACAAGGAGAAGATGGATCTGGAGAGGATCAAGGAGCTCGAGGAGGCTGCACAGAAGCCTCAGCCAGCTGCGCCGATCAACCAATACGAGTATGACGACGAGGAGCTCGATCAGGACATGATGGAGATGGATGGTTTCTAAATTTGTCTTTCGTTGGGGTCGAAAATATCAGGATAGAATTAAGGGGGCCAAAATTGTGCAAAATTGTATCATAGTATTAGAATAATCGAGCGCTTCATTGCTGCCATCTAAGGGTGTCCTCTATGTTGTATTTCTGCCCAGGCTCAGAAGTCTAACTAAATCCATTAAGTTGATTTGTTTTAAAAGGGAACCACAACGCCAATTGCCCGATCCTCCCACGCCTTGCTAGATAAAAGAAAGTCAACAGTCTCATCGGCCTCACGAATACGCCATCTCATTTCACCAACAGTCTCTTCGCAGCCTTGACGGCCCTTAGAGCAGGGAGTGTGTGAGCCCGACCTGGCTCCCTCCCAATTTCGATACAAAGCATACGGATAAAGTCGTGGTTCGTCCAGTAGCTTGTGTGTGCACTAAGCATGTTCAGGTACTGAATCTCCAGGGGACCGCCCCCAGAGCGGAGGTACCAGTCTATTTGCCCATTATCGTTGAGCAGGAAGGCTTTCTTCTCGGCAATCTCTTCTCGCGTAAAGTCGTGAACCTCGAGCTCAAGCTGGGAGGGGAGACGGATGGTTGACGGCCGCTCCGGCTCTGGGGCGAGCGGGTTTGGGGCTGGGGCCATGCCTGGCACGACGTTCCGCATGGCTGCGCCGACTGACTTCCACAGGGAGCCTGCTATGCTCGGAACGTAGGCTGTCTTGAGGCTTGCCGCGTAGATGGGATCAACGGCACCATTGAGAAAGTATGCGATGGGATCTTCCTTGGCGAGGATGTTGTAGATATTGTCGACAGCCAGGCAACCAAAGGTGCCAGCTTCACCGACAACATCTTGGGCCACGACGTCGCTCGATTCAGCACCAGGTTTCATTCGGCCATGCCTAGGCATGAGCGTGCCACGCTCAAGAAGCAGGAAGAACCCAGCCGGGCTGCCTGCCAGGAAGAGGTTCCTGGTGTCGAATTCGAAGAAACGTGTCTCGGGCTCCTTGCGGGACAAGTCAAGTCTGGGTACAGAGGTCGGCTGATTTGACAGAATCTCAAGAGCCATGGCGCTACCCAGCGAGTGTCCGATGAGATGGACGCGCCCTCTCTCGGCAAAGCCTGGGTTGTTGCGACACCAGAGTCGATAGACACGGTTTGCCTCAGACACGAGAGCCTTGATCATCTTGCCCTTGTGATGGGACATGTAAAAGGGGATATCGAACATGACATCCGATATCATACTGCGAACTGCAGGAATGGTGTCAGGTTCGATGTCCTTGAGCCCAAAGCCCTCGGGCGTATAGTCTGCCTTGTCTTCCTCCCTCATCGGCCCTCCATCCTCGAACGAGAGACCCATCCTCCAGTTCAGGGGAAGAATCATGAGTCCATTTTGGTCCGCACGGAGTACCTGCTTGACAACGGGACTTTGTAGTTCAATGTTAAGAGCACGACGGAAGCCATTGATGGCATGAGTAAAGTGGAAGCTCTCCACCCTCTCCGCGAATTTCTGGCCGATACCATGGGCGACGAGAATCAAGTCAGTAACTTGCCCTTTCTCTTTGTCTGCCTTGCAAGCGGAGCACACATCCTGGCCACTGCTCTCGTGTGATTCATCAGCTGCCGATTGGCCTGGTTTGTTCGGGGTCTGCTTCTTGTGATGAAGTCGCTCCCAGGCTGCTCTGTTAAAGCCTCGGACAACAGGGACACCGACAGTCACGCCCTTCATGATCTTCAACACGGGTCGTCTTCCATAATATGCCGATGGTTTCAGGCTTGGCTTCATGAGGAATGCTTCGGTGGCATTCTTGTATATGACGTGATAGTTGGAGAAAGGCCGTGTTGGAGGCTGAAACTCTCCTGAGGCTCTTCTATCGACAGCAGTCGGACCAATGGATCCTTCGGCTGCTGCTTCGCCACGAAAACAGCGAGCAGCGCAGAAGGGATCAGTTGGGATAGCTGGCTCAGGGAAACCAACTTCATCAGCAGAGCCGATTTCGGACTCTTTCGGCCAGAGCCTATGGGACACCTTTTCCTCGCCCAATGGACCAACATCGATGGCACATCGTAGTTCATCGCTCCAAGTCTCCGTCCATGGTCGAAGTTCATGGTAGCCGGCCTCCAATTGGTTCGCCACAATCGGTGGGATCGGAAGCATGGTGTCCCTATATCAAGTCAGCGAGAGCCTTCTCGAATGTTGTGAATCCATACCTATAAAACCATGTTGCCCGAGCCACAACAGCGACGTCGTTGACAGGAGACCAGTAAATCGGCTTCATCTGGAGAGATGGCAACGAAACCATGTGTAGTCTTGATACCCCGACCGCAACTTCAGCAATGCTGGGTCGATAGTCTTCCGCCGCTGGCTTATCGGCGATTTTTGCTGATTGAGGAGCATCATCCACTTCAGTTATCGCCTCAGTCTGATCGCGGGGTTGGCCAACGTCTCGTAATACACCACCGGCTTGGGCAAACGGGACAGAACCAGGCTCAGATTGTGTTTCGGGGCTGCCTACGCGTACAAAGGGCTTCCCTGATATTCCATCATCCAAGCCTGGCGGTCGAGCAACAGTTGGACTGCCGACAGGCGTCTGGGACCGAGGGGTCCGGTTCTTGGCTTGTGACAACGAGAGGGATCTGGCTCTAAGATTGGATTCGCCAACGGTAGATCGACGTTTCGTGTTGCGAGGCTCCGTCGGAGTCTTCGATATCCTAGCAATAGGATGGCTCGCGTTGGTTGTAGAAGAAGATCCTGGACGACTAGAGGGTATATCCGCTGAGGATGGCCGAGGCTCGATCGCACTGCTTGCCTGCTCTTTCAGGCGACCAAGCCCAAGAACAATCTGCTGGGTCACTTCATCTACACTCAAGGCAGGATTATTCCTTCTAGTCAAAGAGCAAAAGGTTGCTTCAAGCTCTTCCGATACATCAAGCACAAGCTCGGAACAACAGGCAGGCACCGGGGTGTTGGGTATGACATTGCCAGCTGGCACCGTGACATCCTGTGGTTGGTAGCCTCCACGATGTCTTTCCCAGTGTTTTGTCGTCAAGGCTTGAACAAGTGAAGCCAGTTTATTCGCATCGAATTGAGACGGCCGACCCTGGTCCTTCCATGCATCTTGGTGAGCTCGCCGGTCGTTCTCAGACATGAGACTCAACCAAGCTTTCTCGAGTGCGTTATTGTCACCCCTCGAAAAGGGCCGAACCTGACCCTTGCTCGTCTTCGCATCGGTACTAATGGTCGAGGATGTCGAGAGGGGGTCGTCGATGGGAATAAGGGATGAGTAAAAGAATTGTGCCTCAACGAGTGGTACATCGTCTTCTCGTCGGACGCGGGCAACGGGAGCCAGTCGACACTTGGCGCCGTATGTATGGTTGTCGCATGCCATGATGGCGGTCGCTGGGAGTATAGCTCAGACAAGTAAGCCAGAAGCTGCACGACACCGAAAAACTGGCTGCAGGGTCTCGATCGCAACGTCGGGGTCAGGATGGGCCTCTCGGGGCTGGCGTATGCGGCGTAGAATTCGACAGGGCCATAGAGGGAAGGCAGCACAAAGACTCGTGGCTTGCCGTCCACGCAGTCAAATGGTGAGCAAGGGGAGGGGAGGGAAAAGAATGCCAACGGAAGAAGGGCACGGAGAGTGGACGGCGGTAGACGGAAGCCTGAGGCTTGGTGGTTCACCGACCTCCGGTCAAGCCTGGGCTCGATGACGTGGGGATGTGCTGGACAGTCTATCTGCCTTAATATTGTGGGTCCCTGCCAGGTACTTTAGCTAAGACGACATGTATCTTCTCGCCTATCTTGACAGCGGCCTCTACCTGAAACGAGCCTCCAAGAACATTCCCGATACCTTCATCAATGGGTCCTATCAAGCTCCTGCTAACTAACGCGCTGCCTAGTAACATCACATGCATGATGCCCTGCTGCCACGTAGGTCAGGCATGGATGTCACTAACTTAGCTTCAGAGTCTGCCCGCAAATAGGGACTCAAGATACTCGATCGAGACGGGACACTTCACACTCCAAGATGATGATGCCCAGCAACAACTCGAGGTCGCCGTAATTCTAAAGTCGTATTCAGTTAAGAACAGCCGGGAAAACTCCGCCAAGAAATGGCCCGACCGTGCAGCTGAAAGGTGACATGACCATGGTTGTAGCTTCACAACAATGGGCACATTTTCATTACCATCTAATTTCCCGCGCCTGTGATTCCAGGCGGACAATTCTCGCTTCCCTTGTGATTCGCAGATCTTTTCCCGAGGCATGAATCTTGCAGTTCGTTGTTGGACACTCACATATCTGCATTGACGTTTCATTCCCTACCCAGCCTTCCCCATCAATGTCCCTTTGTAAGACATGTGGTAAGGAATCATTAGCAATGCCATCCCCAGATGCCGATTCAACCCGTGCCTGAGATAACAGCCCCATGATTCGCGCGCGGTTACTTCGAGGGAGGGCGCATGTCTTGACGGCTCAGCTGAAACCGGGAAACCAGGATGTCGCGATTCGCCAAAGAGCGGGAAGCTGCACAGATCCGTATCTTCAATGCTCGTCCCCATATTTAAGCGTAGAACCTTGTCATTGTCTTGCTTCTAGATGTATCGTATCTCGTCGATCCAACTAGACAGGCCCTCTCAGCGGGTAGATAATTGATATGATGTAGTATCGTTGACGACACCAAGGGCTGCACTTTGTGAATTACAAAGTATGCCATCCATGGCTCGGACGCAGAGCAGTGTGGGCATCTGGATGGTGTGCCACGGTTGCCGCCCCTGAAGCCGATCCCGATATCTTCGAAGGAGCTTTCGTATCCTGCCAACAGGAGGCTACTTGAACTGGCATCACTTCACTCGATACCCCAGACGTACTCCAGTTGGAATCGGCATATGAACTCCCGACTATTCCAACCTTCCAATCGTCTGGATGTATTCCTATATCATCCTCAGTTAGCGAACCTAGACGCTCAGCAAAGCAACAAGCCAGAAGTCGATGGGTTAGTCTGGGTACCTTGAAGTTTCTCTGGAAAATGCTGGCGGTTTCTCTCCATATAATGTTACGCATTCAACAGATGCTGAGAGAAAGTATCACGTCCGTCGCGGTGGTTGAATATCCTGCCGCCCAAGGCAATGGAACAAACAATGCGGTCGCAAATACTCCACATACAGATCGCCACGATAATCAAGATGAAACCCTATAGGGGCTGAAAAGGTTGGTCGAAGTATCCAGCCAAACTCGGTAACGGCTACGACCAAAAGACCGTCAAGAACTCCTGATGGTGACTCTGAGGGTGGAAGGCGGACACCGGCTAGTCTCTCTGCCTACACGACACGGCGATTACTCGAATCAGATGGTCCTGGTTGATTTACTAGACCCAGTCCTGTGAAACCTGGGTTTTGGAGGTTCAGGGTGCCGATGTCGAATCGTTTTGAGCAACCGTCTTCCATATGCCTGGCCAGTCCGTCAGTACCCATACAAGAGATTGTCGCAAACCAAGGCTGAACTTACCGTCTAAGTGTATCCTTGCGAGCAAACAAACGCCCGCAGTAGTCGCATTTGTGGTTACGCTCCTTCATGTGAACACTCTGGTGGTGTCGTTGTAGATCGGTTTTCCGCACAAACTTCTTTGTACATCCATCAACGGTGCATGGAAACGGATACTCCCGCTTCTCGTCGTGAGTTTCCAGATGTGATTTGTAGTTGTAGCTGCGACTGAAGAACTTTCCACAACCCTTTACCTCGCACTGAAAGTTTGCTTCCTCCTTTGAGGTATGTTTCCGTGTAGGCCTCTTCACCTTGTTGGTTTTCAACATGCGCCTGTCCTGGCCAAGATCGGGTATTTGGGCTTGTGCGCTCTGGTAAAACTGAGACACGTCGTAGTCCTGCTTTGGCCAGCTTGTTGAAGCCCCCGCACCCAAGTCCGACTGGAGGTTCGGGGCGAAAGGTGTTCCGTCTGTATGATAGGCCGCACTAGCTGGTCCGGGGGCTGAGTAGGACGGTGATTCAAAACCTTGGCAATAGCTACTAACGGAGCCTTCCATCCTGAATCTGGGGTTAGATGGATCTTGCAAGTATCCGAATGGAGGCCTAGAAGCTATCGCTGGTCCTCGGTCAGAGTGGCTACTCGAGGGTGGGAGAGGGTGGTGAACTGCGGGATTTCGTGTTGTCGGCATGTAGGCTTCGTGGGTTTGATAGGGAGTGGGAAGGCAGGTTTCGTAGGCCGCAAAGGTGTTAAACTCGGAACCCAGAGCATCAGATTCCACCGAACTAGAAGGCGTCGACGAGGTTGCCGCCACAAGGCCGTCCGGGGTGACCCAAGCGGTACTACTGTGATCCATGGGAGGCGGTGATAGAAGCTGAGTGTTTGGGCCCGAGAGCCAACGAGGGTTGAAGCAAGGTGAAGCTGAATCGGGAGATGATTCCAACTCGTTTGTTGAAACGACTGGTTGGAGTGGGGAGTGGTAGCCAGGCGCCGGTCCCTCTGAGAGTCGTGAAGTATCAGAACTCGAGGAACTAAGTTCAAGGAACTGGCGATGATGCGATGCTGGGGAGTTTGATGTCGAGGGAGGTGTAAGGTACATGTTGATGTTGTTGGATGACGCGGGGCTGTGTTAGAAGCCGTGGGCTGGCCAGGGTCTCGAGAGCCATACACCTTCTGCAAGCAAGCAACGGAACGGAGCCCTAGAAAGTAACAAGGCCGCGGATGGCAGTGGACTATTGCGAAGAGGGGAGTTTCATCGACCAAGCTGGGAACCCCATGATGGGGTAGCAGTTGGATAAATATTTCGATTCACGGTCAAGACGGGGGAGTCAAGGACAAGAGACGGCCGACACAACAGAGGGTGGCAACAGAAGAAGAGATCAGCCAGAGCGAGTAAGGTAGGAAGGTAGGAAGGTAGTCTGTGTACTGTCCAGTGCTGTACAGGGAATGTCGATTACGGAGCCTCCCGTTTAACGACGCAAGCCGCCTTCGATGAATTAAACACAGCACAGGCACAGGCGAGCATGGTCGATGGAAGGATCAGGCTCCGCCTGCATGGGGGTTGAGGAAACAGGCAAGTCGGTGGTGGGGAGAGGAGGGTTTGGCGTTCGCGGGCACTAGAGCCACTCACTGGGAAGGGGTCGAGAAGCGGGTGACGGGGCCGGAAAAGAGAGCGAAATGAGACCTAGGCAAGGGTTCCGTTCGCCAACCATGGGGCTGGGCCATCTTGGACTTGATAGATCTCTCGGATGGGTTAAGGGAGATAACGGTGTTGCCAGGGCCGTTTGCTGTCACTCGTCCATCGATTCTGGACGGACTGGGGTGTGCCTGGCCTTGGCTTGACACGATTACGGCCGTTGGATGCCCAGAATAGAGTCTGTGTACACCAACGGCCCTGGGTGTGAATGAGCCAAGGTATAAAGGGCCGCATTCCGTCAAGGCAAGGGTTTACCAAGAAGGGAAGCACGCACTGCACTGCGCTGCACTGGGGAAAGGGGACGGGGGGGCAGGGATGGGGTCGTATATCGGCAGTATCAAAACATGAGCAACTTGAGGGAAGACGGGGCGGAGCTTGGGACGGCGGTTGTGCGTCGAAAGAATCTTCATGGTTCCTGTCGGTCCTTGTGAGTGTGATGCCATCGTCCCATAGTGAAGCCGGACCGTTCTCCACCCCCAAGAACCAACACCCTCAAAACCGTCCGAGAGCACGCACTCCCATTGCTTGCGCGCACGCACAGCCCCCCCTTAGGTTTGCATTTGCATGGCCCATGCTCTCTCAGAGTTACCACCACCGTAAGTGTGTGCTGAGAAGGGATGCGTGCCTGACTGTCGGGACCTGTGAGAGGTGGTGACTGCGTCTAAAGCGCGCGTATCGCAAGGATTTCCCTGCCGACAAATCGGCCGACGCTGTGATGGGACGAGAACCAGTTCAAGTCAAGGCCTGCTTCCAAAGGCCCTGGCGTCATGGATTACATCCAGATCCGTCCTGGACCCCCCAGTAAAACGGCTACCATGGCCCGGTCAACCTTGTCCTCCTCAAGAGTGCCCTTCCTTGCGCAGCACCACGCAGTGAACAAGACTCTCGCGCCATGACATGTCTGCCAGGAACCACTTGGACCTTGCGCTGGCGGGGTTTTTGGCCCAACAGGCATGCTTCGATCAACCCACGGATCGCGGACGAGCTGTCATCGCGGACAAAATGGCCAGGGGCTTTAAGAGCAGGGAGAACAACGGATCATGTGGTGCAGCTCGTGCGACTCGTGCGAGTCCGGGCCAGTGCAAGCCAGGGCGTGAAAAAAGCCAAGACCAAGGCCGGGCTAGATCCGAAGAGCCGATACGATATTGTACGACGGACATGTTCGAGGCCAAGAAGAAGGCAGAGGAAAAGGGGAGAAGGGGGCCCTGGTCCTACCGGTGAGAGCAGCTTGCGGTTAGTTCGACAGGGCCGCTACTCCGGTCTGGAGATGTGTGGAGGTCCAGCAAGCAATCCCATCCCTACCAACGGAGTAATTAAGAGTGGAAGCGGGCGAAGCGGGCCAGGAACTTTAGGAGGGGGAGATGTAACACAGAGACAGTGTCGACAAGGTCGCGCGAGTACGGACTTGGGATGCCCTCCAACAAACCGGGACCGAGGGTTGAAGAGCTGGGCATGCTGGGTGAGCGGGGAGACGCGTCTGCCCACAGTGCGCGTGCTTCTGACAGACGTCAAATCAAAGACTTCACCCGTGCCCAGCCTCAATGTCGTCCTGGACAATGGCAAAGACCCATCATAGGCGCTCCTGGATGCAACCCGGAGGGCTTAACTTAGGCAACGGGACGGCTTCAAGCCTCCCGATGCTTACACGCGAATAGCCTTATAGCATCGGCCCGGTCCTTTCAATCCTTCCTTCGTTTCGCATTGCATTGGATGCCTTGCATGTGTCGGCTGCCGTCTTAGCATCGACGTCTGCAATCTGTCATCGGCGGCGTCCAACACGCAGGGGCTGAGTAACAAACTTGTCATTGACGACACTTTGTCTGGATCATGCCATGAGAGATGAGAAACGCGCTTAAACAGACTGGCGCATCTGGGGCACGGCCGCGCGTTCATGGTCGACTACCTGGCGGCTTGCGCCCAGGATATCCACGGAAAAATCGCCCTTTACTAACACACAACTTGGATCGTCCTTCTTCTTTCTAACTCTCCCGCTTCCATGGCCTCCACTGGTCTACGACCTACGAGGTTAAGTCGCGACCAGTTTGCCCGAGTAGGCAAAGGCCAAGCAAGAAAGGCCCGTCCGAGCGTTCAAGGGTCCCCTTGATGACAGCTTATTAGGCGCACCAGTTTTTGCCGCCGGGGCGCCAGAGTTCCGACAAGAGGCTCACGAAACAGGGTAAATACATTTCTTTCATTCATGGATTGACCCGATGCCCGTCTTCCAGGTTGCTTCGCTAGCTACGCGCCCGCCCCCATTGGCCACAAACCAGGGCAGGGTGGTTGAGCTTAATGCCCCTGGACGGCTCGCGGCTTGTACTCTTCCTCGAGATACTTGACTTCTTCATCTGTGAACCGGACACGGAGCGCCTCAACCGCCTCTTCGATCCGCGCGGGCTTGTTCATGCCCAGGATCGGCCAGCATCCCTTGTGCAGCACCCACGCTGTCGAGAGCACGGCCATGGTGATGCCCTTTTTCTTCGCCAATTGCTCAACGCGTCCCACGACCTCCCCACTGGCCGTTGCGTTCCACGTCGCGGCATGCTTGTCGTTCAAGGCACGGCTGCTCTCGCCTGTACCCCAGGGCCGAGTGAGGAGGCCACGAGCCATGGGAGACCAGGGGATGACGCCCACACCTGTGGCCTTGCAGAAGGGGATCATCTCCCTCTCTTCCTCTCGGTAGACCAGATTGTAAAAGTTCTGCATCGAAATGAACTTGGACCATCCCTTGAGCTCGGCGATATGCTGCAGTCGGGCGAATTCCCATGCATACATGGAGCTGGCTCCAATGTACCGCACCTTGCCCGACATGACCACGTCGTGCAGAGCACGCATAATCTCCTCTGGGGGCGTTTCTCGGTCCAGACGATGGATCTGGAGGACGTCTAATGGGTAACATTAGCTAATGTCGTCAGGATAGGGTCTCGTTTGGGATGTGAATAGGGTAATCGTCATGTGCGCAATGATTCCTCGCAGAAGCCGAGGTGCAACCAGACCCAAAATCGCAATTCCCGAGCCCAGAGGACACGAGGTCCCAACACAGAGGCGGCTCTTGACAGTTCAGGTGGGAAAGTCGAGACTCTGACAAGTGGAGCGCGATGAGGGGGGAAAGGTGCACTGGCACAATCACCTCTAGGATTCTTCTATCCCCCCTGCTGCTATCACCTGCAGAGAATTCTGCTTTAGGAATGCCATGGGCCGTGGTGAGAGTGGCAGCCTTTTACGGTTCCACTCGGACCGTCAATGTTGGATCCTGGCCGCTTGCCAGGATTCAATTGCCCACCACATTGGTAGGCTGCTAATAACTCTTGGCGGGATGGTTGACAGCCGTCAAATGGATGGTTCGTCGACGGCCGGAGAGGGGCACATCCGGCTTCACTCACCAATATAGTCTAATCCAAGACGTCTCAAGCTTCCGTCAACAGCATCAAAGATGTGCTTCCTAGAAAGGCCCATCTGGTTCACTGTTGGTCCATCGTTTACAACTGGAACTCTTGTTCCCTCGCCTTCCGCAATGGGGAAGTAGACCTTGCTGAGGATGACCACCTTGCTCCGAGGGATATTGAACTTTTTGAGGGCCTTGCCAATAATCTCCTCGGAGGCGCCGTTGGAGTAGAAATCAGCTGTATCCCAAGTGTTGATCCCCAGGTCATATGCCTTTTTAAGCAGCTCGAGTCCTTCTTCCTCGTCAAGGGTCCACGGGGATCCCTCCCACTTGGAACTACCAAAGACCATGCAACCCATGATGATCTTGGAGATCTTGAGACCACTCTCGCCGAGTCTGGCAACAGCCCGTCAGCCTTCAGATCCAGTCACCGAAATAGGAAGGTTACCCGCTTTGTGTATTCCATGTTGGTCTGTTGTGATTGCGCCCCTGTCAGTCAGTTGGTTGGTTGTCTCGTGGCTTATCCGTAGACGGGAGACATGTGAATGGGAAAGAAAGGCCGCCTCAATTGCGATGCTCTTGGTTTCTATACTCGACTTGCTTCGAAGATCATTGACTAATTAACCAGTTGACTCACAATGCGCAAGCGCCCCTCATTCCGGTTCCGAGGCCGAAACAAACCCCACAGCGGAATCTATCTCCAACCGACTCCGTGATCCGAGATCGTAGGCGGCAATTGATATCGGCTCCCAAGCCGAAATTGTCAAGGGTGAAGCAAAGTATGAGGTCTAGCCATTGAGATTTAATCAGTAGTCAGCCAACTGAGTGGCTCCAACGCTCCTCCTTGAGCTCCCTATTGACCAGGGGCTGCCCGGGTCGCGCATTTATATTAATTCTGAGGTATCCGTCCGTCTTTTCATCGCCCATTCAAGTCTTGCATCGGAAAACATGTTGGCCAGTAGATGATGAGGTATGGGGCATCGAGGCACAGCACCTCAGACGCTGCTTCGAGCCTCCCAATCCAAGAAGCAAGCAACTAAGAGCAACAGGCTCACTTGGAGCCTACCCCATTCTCCGATGTCGTGATTCTTGTGGCTTCAACAAGTCTCAACTGCCTAAGCAAACCCCTTGGCGAGAGACCAGAAGTTGTCCATCTTGGTACGAGAGAGAGCCTCCCTCGCCTCTGCGTCTGTCTCGCACACTTTACTCCCCCACTTTCTAAAAGCCCGTGCCTTTTGCTCACCCTCGAATACCAGTTTGCATTCGTTCATTGACATATCTTTGAGCTCCCCGTTATCCTTCTCAGCAAGGAGCCAGTCGCGTACAGTCCCCTGCTTTCCATCTTTTTCTCTTGATGGCGCGTTCTCAGTCCAGTCGATACGGTTGAGCATGAGCTTCTTGTACTTTTTGATGCTCCATTCGCCTCCCTCAACAATGACCAGATTGAATTTCGGGTGCATGATGCATGTTCCGGTGAGCGCCAGTTGCTCGGCGTTGACGCCAATCTTGTATCGGTGCTGTCCATTGGCAAGACTTCCAATCTTGAAGACCAAAATATGGATTCCTTTGTCAGCGTCCTTCTGCTGGTTTGTAGCCAACTTGTCATGCTTTTGTTCCTTGGTGAGTTTCCTCTCTTCGTTGGTTTCGACATGCTTTTGGTGGCGCTCTGCAATTTCGCGGTTTACTCGTGCTTCGACGGCCGTTGGATCTTTGACAGCAACTATAAACATGTGAGTATGAGAACGGTGACCAGAGGATGGCGGTATAGGGGCTCAACTTACCATCACCGAGAACTCGCATCAGGTTGCCCTTCTTCACCTTGGGTGGAGGTGCGGGCACTAATCCCAGGCGGATCTTGGCTTGCATTTCCTTCAACTCTGCCATTCGGCGCTGCCGGCGGAGCTTGGCCTGTTCTCTAGATGTCAAGAACATGGGCTTTGCGGCAGGAACATGACGATCTTGTGGCGGCTCGAGGGCGACTGGATGCTGGATATATTCGGTAATGATGCTATCAGGCGTGCTGAGTTTGAGCTGAGAAGGATCGTCCACTAGGTCGTAATTCGTGCCAGCAACAAGGCCTTCATCCCACCATTCAGCTCCAGAAGGAGCCTCCGTCACGAAATTGCGCTCCACGTCAAGGTCTTCGTCGATACCGGCCTTTCGGGTTTGCTCTGCGATTCGCTTCTTCATTGCCTCGAGGGCAGCCTGCCGACGCAGAGCATTGGCTTGCGCAATATATTTGCCTTTCTGGTTAAAGACAAGTGATCGAGACTGGCGTGCCTTTCCACCACCTGATTGCGACGCAAGGCCAGGGTCGTAATACGGATTCTCGCCGCCTTCTTTGCTCAGAGAGCCGGCCTTGAAGCCATCTTGACCTCGCGCTTTATCTGATCGCGCGCTCGAGGATGAAGGTGTTGAGTCTTTCGATTTATTGGCAGGCTTCCATGATCCAAGATCCTCCAAGGCTGGGTGGAGGCCAACATTCAGTCCACCTTTCGCTTTGCTTGTTCCGATCGCTGCAGCGACACGAGCCTTGAGTGCAGCCATTCTGTCGGCAGCCGACTCCGTCTTTTGCACCCTTGATGAGGCATCGTGGCGCGGCCCAAGGCCAGGGGACTGGCTCTGACGGTCCATGGCTAGGATGTGGTGGTGGTTGACAGATGCTTTGACGCCTCCCCAGCCGTGCGAGGCTTGGTCCAGGAAGTTCCGTTTGTTCGATCAGTGGTTCCCTCAGTAGAATTCGTATGCAAGCCCAGAAAGCGGCTGATTTGAAGAAAGATGGCGTTGCGTGGAATGTGAGGTTCGGTGGATGATGTAAATGATGGATGGAGTAAGGCGAGACTGAGTCGCGGCGCGGTTCACTGCGCATGGATCAGCCTAAAATTCTGCCGCCCCGCACCGCCAAAAATTTGTTTTCACGTTCCAAGCTTCAATCCCCCACCACCTTTCCCTTCACTTCGCACGTTGCACCGGGCAATGGACTTTCACAGTTAACTCGGAGACGTCGCCTAACTGTCAATTCTTTGCGCTCGACAGAGCGGCAACAGCGTCATAATGAATATCGCACAACCTGTTGCCTCCGGGGTGGAGAGTGTCGAGTTTACCTTCCTGTCGCCAAAGGAGATCCGATCCATTTCGGTGAAGCGAATCGAGAACGACAGTACCTTCGACAACCTCCTCAATCCTGTACCAGGCGGTCTATATGACCCTGCGCTCGGTTCTTGGGGCGATGCGCCGTAAGTTCCAGCCCAATGCATCGAGTTTCGAAGGGGCTGACAGGCGAATCGCAGATGCACAACTTGTAACTTGAACCAGTCTACGTGCCCCGGCCATGCCGGACACATTCAGCTCCCCGTCCCTGTCTATCACCCAGTGTTTATGGACCAGGCCTATCGACTCCTCAAAGCCGCCTGTGTCTACTGCAAGGGCTTTCGACTCCCCCAAAAAGAATTGCACAAATATGTGTGCAAGCTGAAGCTCCTCCAGCATGGCCTGATTCAGGAAGCGCACATTGTTGGCGCCATCGGTGAGAATGACCTAGCCATCGAGCTGGGTGACTTTTCAGGACTGGAAAGTGAGGCCGAGGAGGAGGGTGATAGCAATTCCATCGACAATGTCACTCGCGCAAGAGACAGATATGTCGACAAGTGTCTTCGCGGCATCAAGGTCAAGCGAGGCGAAACGAAGCGAGGAAAACACGAGGGCGCAAGCGAAATGCGACGAGACATCATCAAGGAATTTCTTGCCGAGATCACCAAGAGGAGAATATGCGCCAGCTGTGGCGGTATCTCCCCATCTTATCGCAAGGATCGATTTGTCAAGGTTTTCGAGAGATCTTTGTCAGACAAGGAGAAGGCCAAGATGGCTCAGAAGAACTTCAAGCAAGCCGACGCCATGGCCAGAGTTCACCAAGCTACGACAAAGCAGAGGCCAGACGGATATTCATCCGATGAGGGTGTTGCGGATGTGGGCTCGCCAACTCGTGAAAAGGCACAGACCGATGAGGATGGTGCTGATCAAGATACCGACATGCCCGATGCCGACACCACTGCTGCTGCCGTCCCGCAGAGGTACATCAGTGCAATGGAAGTTCAAGCACGCCTGAACGAACTTTTCACCAAGGAACAGGAACTGATGGCTCTTCTTTACAATGCCAAGCCCGCAATACGAAGCTCCTCCAAGGTTACTCCGGACATGTTCTTCCTGACGATCCTCATGGTACCGCCCAACCGATACCGTCCAGAGGCTCGTACTGGCGAGGCCCAAATCTCAGAGGCTCAGCAGAACTCGCTGTACAAGAACATTCTTAGAGGTTGTGGAAGAATTGCCCAACTTCATGCGTATCTCAAGGAAGAGCGAGCAGATGTCAACCAGCTTCACCAGGCCTGGACTGAGTTGCAAGAGTCGGTGAACGCCCTCATTGACAAGGACAAGAACCCAGTCCAGGGCGCCGCGGCAAAGCGCAATGAAGACGGTATCAAGCAGAAGCTTGAGAAGAAGGAGGGTCTGTTCAGAAAGAACATGATGGGCAAGCGAGTCAACTACGCCGCTCGAAGTGTCATCTCGCCGGATCCCAACATCGAGACCAACGAAATCGGTGTTCCGCCTGTATTCGCCAAGAAGCTGACATATCCCGAACCGGTGACCAGCCATAACTTCCGCGACATGCAGCAGGCCGTCATCAATGGTGTGGACAAGTGGCCCGGCGCTTTCGCGATCGAGAATGAGAACGGCCAAATCGTCAATCTTCGAAATAAGTCCGTTGACGACCGCGTGTCACTGGCAAACCAGCTTCTCGCTCCTACAAGCAGCAGCGCCGCTCGAACCAGGAACAAGAAGGTCTATCGCCACCTCACCAACGGTGATGTTGTCTTGATGAACCGTCAGCCGACCCTGCACAAGCCGTCCATCATGGGACATCGAGTACGAGTTCTGCCGAACGAGAAGACGATTCGAATGCACTACGCCAACTGTAACACCTACAACGCCGATTTCGATGGTGACGAAATGAACATGCATTTCCCCCAGAACGAAGTTGCCCGAGCGGAAGCCCTTCAGATTGCCGACACCGACCATCAGTACCTGTCCTACACCGCAGGCAAGCCCCTCCGAGGTCTCATTCAGGATCACATTTCCGTGTCCGTCGCCCTCTGCAACCGTGACACGTTTTTCAGCCGTGGCGACTATCAACAGCTAGTCTACAACGCCTTGCGCCCTGAAAGCGGCCACATTGTTGGCGAGAGGATCGAGCTTGTCGCCCCAGCAGTGATCCGACCAGTTGCCAGGTGGACTGGCAAGCAAGTCATAACCACTATCCTCAAGAACATGCAGCCACCCAACTGTGGCGGTCTATGCATGAGGGCAGAGACTCAGATCAAGGCCAGTCAGTGGGGCAAAGACTCAGAAGAGGGCATCGTTCTATTCCAGGATGGCGAATTCATTACTGGAATCTTGGACAAGTCGCAGATCGGCCCCAGTTCAGGTGGTGTTGTCCACGCTGTTCATGAGATTTACGGCCCTGCCATTGCAGGCAAACTGCTCAGCAGTCTCGGCAGACTGCTAACCAGGTACCTCAACGTGCGAGCCTTTTCTTGTGGTATGGACGATCTGCGGCTCACTCCCGAAGGAGAGAAGGCCCGGCGAGAGGCCCTTGTACCTGCCAACACAGTCGGTCTTAACGTCGCTTCGTCGTATGTCTCTCTGGAGCAGAACCCTGGTCCCCGTGATCCCCTGCTTCTTGAGCGTCTAGAGGAGGTTATGCGTGACGACAGCAAGCAGGAGGGTCTCGATCTTCTGATGAAGGAGGGTCTCAGTGGCATCACGGACAAGGTTCAGACTTCATGCGTTCCCAATGGTCTGGAGAAGCCATTCCCCAAGAACCAGATGCAGGCCATGACAACATCTGGTGCAAAGGGATCCCGAGTCAACGCGTCTCTGATTTCTTGCAACCTTGGTCAGCAGGTTTTGGAAGGCAGACGTGTGCCTATCATGGTCAGCGGCAAGTCGCTGCCATGCTTCAACCCATTCGAGACTCATGCTCGAGCCGGCGGTTACATCGTGCAGCGCTTCTTGACTGGTATTCGCCCTCAGGAATATTACTTCCATCACATGGCTGGCCGAGAAGGTCTGATCGATACAGCTGTCAAGACGTCCAGATCCGGATATCTGCAGAGATGTGTCATCAAGGGCATGGAGGGCCTGACCGTCGCCTACGATACTACTGTGCGAGATGCCGATGGCTCCATGATCCAGTTCCTGTATGGAGAAGATGGTCTTGATGTGACCAAGCAAAAGTATCTGAACGACTTCAGCTTCATTCTGGAGAACGTCACTTCCCAAGCTGCTCAGCTCAAGTACGACCCTAGCATCGGAGATCGACTCGGACAGCACCGGGAAGTCATCTCCAAGTACATGAAGAAGGCCCTCAAGCATGTCAAGGCCCATGACCCCAAGGCTCAGGACCCACTCTCCAGCATGTTCAACCCGGCGACCAGTGCCTTTGCTACCTCGGAGAACTTCTATCAAGCCATGACCTCCTATCTCAAGGAAAACAAGGACGGTCTGGTGCGGGACAAGTCGGACAAGAAGAAGCACGCTCTTTCTCGCGTTAGTCTCAACAGGAAGAATGCCGAGATGTTGTTTGCGATGAAGTATCTACGATCTCTTGTCGAGCCTGGCGAGGCTGTCGGTATCGTGGCAGGCCAGTCTGTTGGTGAGCCTTCAACACAGATGACACTGAACACGTTCCATTTGGCTGGTCACTCGGCCAAGAACGTCACCCTGGGTATTCCGCGATTGCGAGAGATCCTCATGACTGCTAGTGACAAGATTTCTACGCCAGCCATGTCCCTTTACCCGATTGATGAAATGTCTACCGCGGATGCCGAGACTTTTGCAAAGTCTATCTCGGTCTTGCCTTTGGGCTACATTCTGGATAGCATCTCGGTTGAGGAGAAGGTTGGACGTGGCAAGATGTACGGTTCGGCCAAGGTCTACCGGGTTGACCTCAAGTTTTTCGCCTCGGAGGAGTACACGCAGACGTACGCCATCAGTGTCTCGGATGTCATGGACGCTGTCGAGCGGAAGCTACTCCACCGTCTCCTCTCTCTCGTGAAGAAAGACATTAAGAAGCGACAGAGTCAGTCTACCATGGCCACGCCTGAGATCGGTGTGAAGGCCGGCGTGGTGGAAACGGCGGCGCCTAATGCCGAAGCCATCCGGGATGAGGACGACGACGATGACGAAGGCGATGACGATGCCACAAATGCCAAGCAGCGGGCTAACCGGACCGAAGCGGTATCCTACGGCCCCAACGACGACGACGACGATGCTGTTCAGCAGGAGATGGCACGTGACGCTGCTGATGATATGGACGAGGACGAAGGCATCGGAGGCAGCCCGCGCTTGGCCCCTGTCGATGATGATGATGATGATGATGGCATCGACTGGTCAGCAAAGGCACGAACGGAGCGCGTGCTGGATTCATACTCCGAAGTGACGGACTTTACTTTCGACGCGAAGAGTGGAAGCGACTGCAGCTTCACCCTCGAGTTCGACTCGACTATTCCCAAGGTCCTCATGCTCAATCTTGTGCAAGATGCTGTCAAGAAGACGGTGATTCAGGAGATCTCTGGCGTGGGAGCCTGCACCTTTGTGGAGGAGAAGGGCGTCCACGTCATTCACACGGCGGGAGTGAACCTACAGGCGATGCAAAGGTACAGCGATTTCATCGACCCCCATCGAATCCAGACCAACGACATTGCGGCCGTGCTGGCCGTGTACGGTGTTGAGGCGGCTCGCAGCAACATCGTCCAGGAGCTGGCCGGTGTCTTCGGATCCCACGGCATCAAGGTCGACAACCGCCACCTGAACCTGATTGGCGACCACATGACGAGGAACGGTGGATTCACGCCGTTCAACCGAATGGGTCTGAAGGGCAACGTCAGCCCCTTCACCAAGATGAGTTTCGAGACGACACTGTCATTCCTCAAGGATGCCGTTCTCGACGGCGATTGGGATGACCTCGCCACGCCCAGCGGTCGGTCGGTGATGGGCAAGCTTGGAAAGGTTGGCACAGGAGGGTTCGATGTTTTGGCGCAGCTTCCTACATACCATGTTGATTCTCTGGCGTAATTAGGGTTGTAAAAGTGTAGATACAGTCTGTCAATTTGTTTGGTAGTCAACGAAGTAAATAGTATTCATTGCATTGTTCTGATCATCTAATCTGTCTCGATAACCTGCCTGCCTTTCAGGTCCAAGTTGCACCATACCCGTACCATGTCTGCACCATCATCCAGTGACCCGCATTCTGCATTCTAGGCATCGTGCCTTCGTTTGACTCATCCACGACCTTCAAGGCAACTCCCAAACAAGCGGCGCAGCACTCCGTAGAGGTGTTGATAATACAGTCTTGACCAAGCCTGTCAGCTAACATGGGTGGGCACATGACCTGAAGAAACCAGCCAACACTAAGGTGACAGTCCCCGCGAGAGTTTCAGGGCCTGTTCGTCTCGGGATGACGCGTAAATTTATTCACGGTTGACAGTCGCGTAAAGTGATAAGAATCGTGATGCGGACGCGTTGTGCTTTGTGGTTTGCAACTATCTAAGGTGTTGGGACTGCGACCCGTCATGTAATTACAGGCATGTCACGATGGAGACTGATGTTGATCATAGACCGGTGGTCAATTGCATGCAGTCGCTACCAATGGTGCTGACTGTGTAGTATACATCCCAACTGTAGAAAAAGCATTTGTTCCTCGCGAACGCCTTTGATTATCCCCTAAACCATGATATTCCCTCGTGTCAAAGCAAAGTCGTGATCCTCCCAGTTATCCCAGCATGTCCAGCTTAGTTGCGCTCACCACGGAGGCGGCGGGCGAGCTGGATGTCCTTGGACTGGATGGTGACACGCTTGGCGTGGATGGCGCACAGGTTGGTGTCCTCGAAGAGGGAGACGAGGTAGGACTCGACGGACTCCTGGAGAGCACCGATGGCAGAGGACTGGAATCGGAGATCGGACTTGAAGTCCTGGGCAATCTCACGGACCTGTTTGTCGCGTGTTAGTCGCGGTCGCTTGAGTGAAGATGCAAAGTGAACTTACCAGACGCTGGAAGGGGAGCTTTCGGATGAGAAGCTCAGTCGACTTCTGGTAGCGACGGATCTCACGGAGAGCGACGGTACCGGGCTTGTAGCGGTGAGGCTTCTTGACACCACCGGTAGAGGGGGCGGACTTGCGGGCTGGAGATGGTCAGTGTGAGTTCGTGATGATCAAGACGCGTATCGCGTCGAGATGGTGATGGAGAGGAAATGACTCACCAGCCTTGGAAGCGAGCTGCTTGCGAGGGGCCTTGCCACCAGTGGACTTTCGGGCGGTCTGCTTAGTGCGAGCCATTGTTGAAGGCTGAGGAGATGAAGTTGTTGATGGAAGAAGAAGTGATGATGTTGTTGTTGTTGGTGGTTGTGGTGGGGGTGAAGGCTGAAGTGGGTGTGTGATGCAGGAGGAAAAGTCGGAAGAGAAGGCAGGCGGGGGGATTGCTTTAATACCTGTAGCGTGCACCTTTCGAGCGCGGCTGATCTGAGGCAGTGTTGGACCGTGCGCTACTGATTGGGTTGTTTTTTTTGCAATCACCCACCAAAAATGGGAAAATGGGTCCCCAGCCATTCGCGCCTGCCACTCTGGAAAATGCGCGCGACTGATTAAAAAAATGCTGCACGCGCGCCGATTTTCGATTGGTCAGAAAATCAACCCCCGCGAAGATGGTTGGGAGGCCCCACGTCACGTCGTCGCCCTTTGTTCTGGGCTCACGAACAGCCAATGAGAAAAATGGCTGCATCAGGTCGGGCAGGCAGCCAGGCACGGCATTTCTGGCGCGAGAGGCAAAGGGGATCGGAGGATCTGGTGGTTTGACTTTGAGTCTGGGGAACAGGTAGCTTGCAGGCGGTACCTCTCTGTGCGTGCAAGTACACTCGTTGAGCGAGTGTAGCATTTACCTGCCTTTGCAAAGCTTGACTCATAGTGTCATTGCCACTTGCTCGTGTGACTCTGAGCTTCTTGTCGCGTCTTGTCAGTGTGCTTACGTCGATTGCTATTGTAGTCACGATGTTGAACGCAGTAAATCGTAGCCAAGGTCGTTTTCAAGTGATATGTTGTGATAAATGCGAATCTAATTATTTTGAATGCTTATGGCATATTCAACGCATGATACTTGATGATTTTTCTCCGTCTGGTTGCTATTTTAGTTGACAGGAGTGTTCGTTGTTGAACGAACTCTTGTCTTTTGCAGTAATGTGCACACTTTGTCGAGTAGTTTGTTCACGACAAAGACCAAGAAGAGAACTGAAACAGCAACACAACATCACAACATGAATAATAATAAAGAACACATATCTAAAAATGCTACTAGACGTCGCAAATACGAAAATATTTACGAGGAGCCATAAACCATCGCACGCCTCTCACCACAAGCAGCATCTCATTAAACATGGTGTTTTCAACACATCTACCCTAAATGTCAAGAATCTCGATGTTAGACTTGGCAGATGGGTGGCATAATTCCTGACCATCCGAAAACAGACACTCCAGAAAGCCCCGCTTTCAAAAAATCGACACACGCCGATTTTTTAATTCGTTGCAACTGCGCGTCCTTTTTTTTTTTCGCGCTTGGTTGCCAGATCGCGTCGGACAGGGATCCGGATCAGAAAGTGGGTCAATCACTGATCTTGGAATCTGGCCCACTCGTACTTAAGCTCGCCAACTCCCACCTTCACTTACCGTATCTCATACTTCGACACTTCATCCATCACCACTCTTCTACCATCAACGCATACACCTTGCGTGTTCTTCCACTTTCACACCAACACATCTTCACCACACATCCATCACAATGACTGGACGTAAGTCACACCGCGCCTCTACCACCTACCTGCCTCCACTCTCCCCATCAACCTCAAAGACGCGTCGCGTCTCGGGGCGAACACATGCACACACACCTTAAAGAACACACGATGCTAACATCACACAACAGGCGGCAAGGGCGGCAAGGGTCTCGGCAAGGGTGGTGCCAAGCGTCACCGCAAGATTCTTCGTGACAACATCCAGGGTATCACCAAGCCCGCTATCCGACGTCTTGCTCGTCGAGGTGGTGTCAAGCGTATCTCTGCCAGTATGTACCAGCCACAGCTCACCTCACATGCATGCGACTAACAACTCGAACAGTGATCTACGAGGAGACCCGCGGTGTCCTGAAGACCTTCCTCGAGGGTGTCATCCGTGACGCCGTCACCTACACCGAGCACGCCAAGCGAAAGACTGTCACCTCGCTCGACGTTGTCTACGCCCTCAAGCGACAAGGCCGCACCCTTTACGGTTTCGGTGGCTAAGCGCGTCCTGTTTTACATGTCTGTTACGAATCTTTGCGATCCGCTGTGCTCGGCGCGCAGCGCCATGTGGGTGTTCATGATGACAACTGGGTCCGGTTCTGTTTTTGGGTGTTCTGTATCATAAGGGAAACGGGGATTACATTGGGGATAATCAATCATGCCCGTGTGGCGATCTTGACCAACCTGTTGATATGGCACGTACTGAAGTGACGCGTGACTTGAGCCTCGGCGCGTCTCGAGCGCGGATCCACTCCATACCTCGTCATGTTACACGTAGACCTGTTTGACATCTGTGAATGTTAAGCTAGTGTATTATGTTATGACCCCTGGCTATATGCGGTCGAGTTGGCCTTTGTTCATTGTTGCCTGGTGCGTCGATGCAGTATGCTTGCGGATGGAGTACTTGTCGGCGGGACATGCTGGATACCAACTCCCTACCTGCGAATTTGTTCTTCTCAATGTACTATAGCATCACGATATGAAGCGCATGATCGATCATACCGACAAGTAGGCCTGTCGATGCATAGCAGCACTTACCCAGTCTCGCCCATGTCTGATGATCTTGTTTCATTTGGTGGTTGCGACGGCGTAGCAACCGTGAAGACCCTTGTCATGGATGCCTTCACTGGAGACCAGAGAAGGTTCCCGCCAAAGCCATCTTATGTCGAAAAAGGATACTGCACCGAGCAACTGATGAGGCGGAATAGCTGACGAGTACGAACGCGTTAACCATGAGCCATCAGCCACCTTCTGGACTGTTACGCGTCCTCGCCTAAATCACCTACCCTATGTTGAGCCACTGTCGCTTGCTAGGTTGATGTTTTAGTGATATTTTAGTAATCATGGATATCAAGATAGTTGCGAATATTCGAGTGTTTTAGACCTAGAGTTGGTGTGAAGTAATAAGTGACAAATGTGTCAACCGCGCGCTTCGTCCGCGGAGACTTGACGGTTGGTGTAAGAGACGTTGACACAGCCGACATTGCCACAGCAATTGAGTCATCGCACCCTACAGAGAACCTACAATGGATTCCAAATACCAACTTGGGGCCAAGTCAACAATACAATTAGAAATCGCATAGGTGTCATGATTACTGATTGGCCCGTTTGTCAGGTATGATGGATGGTGAGCAATACGAAAGCGACGCATTACGGTACGGTGCGGTGCATTGCAGTGCGTGCATGAACGGCAGCCGTTCTAGAACAATCCCGTAAGGCCTTGTGACCATCATCCTGGCAGTGAAAGAGTACAGCCACGGAGGAGGAATATGGGAGCTGAATCTACACTGCATTGGCGGGAACATAGAGGGCTAGTAAAATGAAGATCTTCGTGTCTGGACCTGAGAGAGATCTAATGTTGGGGTTCCTGTTCTGGTGACGGGGCTAGATAATCGGCCGAATTCTTCGGGCGACGGAGCCAACGGGTGGCGAGACCGAAGGATCGCTGGGCCTGGACCACGTGGAGAGGAGACTAAAATTAGAGGCCGCCGCGCCAGCAATCCGGGGGGTGGGCCTGGACCACCGCCGAAGGAACACGAAATGGATTTGTGAGCAGGGACACCTGTGCCGAGGCACCTAAAATCCGTAGACTCCGCATCGGACTTTGGATCCCTCTTTCTTCTCGGCCGGCTTGCGCGGCAGATGAAGGACGGGGAAAACGGACATGAATGGAGTAAAAGATGATACTAGCTGACGCTGACTTTCTCACGCAAATGAAAACGAAGACATTAGTTGCTTTGAAGGACCCCTGCGCTGCTGGGGTTCATGCCACCAAGATACACGCACGTTTTTTCTCGATCCTGGGTGGCACCCAGCTGAATGAAAAACGGCACACCACTACAAACACAATTGCTTACCCCCCTAAACGTAATCACCAAAGCACAATGAATAGATAAAAAAAGAGCTCTAGAGTATTTCCAAATATTGCTGTATGTATTTCAAATATTTTGTCATATTTTATGTCAATTTACTCATCACATTTGAGAGCAGTTACACAACCTTCTGCCATGTTCTGGTGTGTCATTTATTTCTTGACTCGCCTGGGTACACGAAACAAGAGCCTCCACTTGAAAAGGCTGCCCCACGCGGACACACCGAACCGTGCTAGCTGGAAGGAAATGGTCACCCAGCACCGAGGACTCGCACAAGATGCGGAATGGAAATGCACGACCCGGCTTTCGATGATGCATGGAAGCGTTATGGAACATGGCATTTCTGGAGAGACGCCTCCCCCGCTGGAGCCGGTGCGCTGGCCTTACCACGAATGTTGAAGCCTCTGCGGCCCGACCGCCCGCAACGTAGCATGGACCCCACGCTTTGAGAGCCGTTTGCTCCAGCATTTGCCATCAAGTCAGCAGCACAGCTTGCTGTTACAGATCGGTGGCTCGGGGAGCTTAAGGAGCTGTATCGCTCAGGGCTCGGAGACCCACAAACTTGCATCGTTGTATAGAGCTCAGGAGCTGGGCTTGCCTCATCTGCCTCCCTGGCTGAGATGCTGTAACGTGCTCAATACCACATGCCCTGACAAGCCACCGACAGCACTCAGCTGCCTACGCAACTGCCAGGCAGATAGATTATTCAGTGGAACGCAGCAGATTTGTTCAGATTGTGCTGCCCCGAGGCCAGCCGGCGGATCGCCCGGCTCCAGCCGCCGCCGTTGCGGGTCTCTCGGCCGCCAGCCCTACGCGCGCCCCGCGGGCGGTTAATGGATACACTCTAGGCTGCCCCGGGTGTTATGGCTCACATGTTCAGTTTTGGCTGACGGATAATGTCTTGGTAATTGCACTTCAGAGTTTTCCAACTGCAGACTCGGACGGAGCAGGATCGAGATGGACGTCGAACCTAGTCCGCTTTGGTGTCATGCAACTGCGTCCATCTGGATAGTCATGAGCTTCTGCTAAGGTGACTCTTGGAATGAACTCTCGCGACCCGAGCTTGGCACTGACCAGTAAGAAATACCAGTTCAGACGGGTCATGTCTCGTGTGAACGGGCCGGAGAAAGGTCACTCGCAACACCCCCGGCTCCAGACTATCGGGTTTTCACCTCTCGCGTGCCTGGCTGGTGATTCACCGCTTGCCTGCGAATACGACGATAGCGATAAAGATTTCAGGCCCACATCCGTATTGACCTTTCTGGATATCGTTTCCCAGACTTCAGCCTCACACCCTTCGTCGTTTATTGTCCTAGTCTGGAAGTCTTGTCCGACACCCGGGAAGCTAGAATTTGCATGGAAAGCTGGAACGACGTTTAGCCGCATGCCGGAAGTCCCGTTGTCTTGGGTAAGGTAGCTGGAACTGCACTGTTTGGTCCCGCGGAGGAACGAAAAAGGCTGCAGGTGGATGGCCCGGATTTTCGGAGATGGGTGGGACGGATGTTGGACGAGATCGATCTGGGCGGCCTGGGCATGGACTCTGAGCTTGTCTAGCCCTCCAAATTGGCAGGGTTGTGGCTTAGCAAAGGTCAAGCCACACTCCTGATTGGCTGGGAACACAAACCCGACCAAGTCCGAGGGCCGGAGCGGGTCGGTCAGGCCGAAGACCTTGTCACGCATCGGCGGACCTCCTCTACGATCTGTCTACCTATCACCATGGCACCTCTGGGTATTTTCTTGCACATTCGAGCTAGGGGGGGGAAGGGAGTGTGACTGGGTTTTTGTTCCTGCGTTGCGCTCGCACCAGTCTGTGTATCCTCCCCCCTAGAAGGGATGGATGAAAATTTTTTCTTCCCATCGACCTTCACCCTGTCTAGTATTTGCTCCGTTCCGTTGGGAATCGACATGCCGGGTGTTGAGCAAGGTAGAAGGGACGCATGGCCAGTCACACCATCGAATGTGTCATGCGACGGGTACCATAGCGGAAGAAGATTTTTTAGCTGACAACACCCTCCTTTTCCCGACCTTAGCTCAGCAGACTTGTCGAGCGTGGTTGGCTTATCTAAGGTGACTCCAAACAGCCGACATGGATAGGACCACTCTGAACCAACATACGACGACAGAGCTCATGTGACCTCTACGCAACACCGTCATGTGACTCCAACTCGGTGGAACGACGTGGAAATGGAGTGTGGCGGATGCCGACGGATTGGCGCTGGAGCGAGAACGAACAACGTATTACCAACGACGGAAATGTGGCTGTGCGTGGCATGCCGCGCTGAACAGGGATCATCTTAGAAAGCGAATAAAGATGGAAGATCGGCGGGGCCAGACTACGTCAGTGGACACGGCCAACACGCACGAGGAAAAAAACTTGAGTCGAAGAGCAGGGCTGGCAAGGGCTTTCCAAGGAGAGCGGCAGAGGGATTGGGGGTGGTCATTGGGTGCTTGACTTGGATGGGCCGTGTTGGCGTCGGAACCCTGGAGCGTTGGGTGCGAGCTGGCCTTGGCCCTTGGAGCCAAAACCTAAAGATACGTACCCTTGTTCTCTGCATCCCCGGAGTGGGCTTCGCGCGCTGCGGGCGTGAGGCTTGGTTTCTTGGGAGGGCTCCGTCTAGTTGTCGGACCGGACTTCGTCCTTCGGGGGGCTCGTCACTCGTCTCGCGAATGGAGGGCGGCCGATACAACCAAGTATATCTGGAGCGACATCCTCGGCCTGGCTTTAAGCGATGGAAATATTTGAAATCAGAAAACAATCAATCATCCATCCTCTGAAGTACAGTAACCGCCGGAAGCGACTCGAACCATCGAGACAATCAGCAGTTACATCAGCGCCCATCGCAGCATCACCGGCATCATAAATCACCAAAGCATCAATCAGCAAACGCACTAGCTGCCCGCCGCTGACCTAGCGAAACGAGAATAACGGCTTTTACCTGACGATTGTACGAACCACCACCACCACACAACGTACACTCCATCACTTTCACACCACACACATCACTGCCACACGCCCCTCCATTCGAGTCCACACCACCCTTGCATCCCGGGTTACATACCGCACCGACACACGTCTTTTGCTTTTTTTTCAGTCGGTACCCGGGCACAATCCAGCCAGTCATCCTGCCCAGATCCCGGATTTGGGGCCTGTCCTGTGCATCATCCAAGTGGGACCTTCAGGGTCTTCTCTCGGTCTGTGGGGCTCGCTCTGCAGATACATCGGCGCCAGTCCATCATCTGTCTACTCGTTTCCATCTTGGTATTCCAGTTCACTCCGGCTCACACGGGGCCTTCTTTCTTAAAAGGAGAGCCATCCCGTCTTTTTTGCCACTTCCTTCCCCAACCTTAAACACAATTATTCTTTCCTCAACCAACATGTTATCGATCCCTCGCCTTCCTCAGCAACAACTTCAGCTTCAACAACAACATCAGAACAACTCTTCCAACACTCAGCAGTACCCATATATCCAAGACTGCCAGTCCGAATACAACCCAACAGCCTACTCAGACTTTTCACGATCGAACTACGACGACGAGCTCGCCGCCTTGAGCCAGCAGCTTCCCTCAGACCTCATGCAGCCCGACGCTTGGGGAGCCATCGCCCATCAGACTCCCAGATTCTCCCGCGCTGCCCATCAACGCGAGTCATCATTGTCGTCTCTGGGCTCTTCAACTGCCGGTCCTTCTTCTCCATTTACCCACAACACCTCGAATCCTCAGATCGCCATCACCGACGTCCACGATCAGAGCGGCGCCAACCCTTCCTACTACCACCTGGCGACCAAGTCAATGGCTCCCTACTCCGGTTACCAGTCCTGCGGTGGTATGGAGCATGTCATGCCTGAGCTGGCATATCCCATCACACTCGCAGGCCCCAGCAGCAAGCCGCGGATGGATCGGGGACTGATGCACGCCCCCGACTTCTCCGGCTCAACGCGATCACATCCTGCCTCGGTGGCGAGTTCCATCGCAGGTGACTCACCTGCAACTCCCACAGTTGGCGAAACCGAGCACTCGGATAGGAGGCGAAAAGGTACAGATTTCCTTCTGGATGGAGGCCTCAGCGACCAGCGCTCACAATTCCTCTCAATAGGTTATACCAACGCCCCCAAGCTTGACAGAACTATGACGGATGTCTATGGCGATGAGCTTTACAGCCCCAACTTTGCCATCACATCTACTCCGCCCTCGCAAGCGCAGATGGCTGTCTCTCCCACAAACGATGTCTTCAGCCAGCGACTCCACGCAGCCAACAGCCAGCACCTGAGCGCTGCTCACTCACCGGCCTCCAGCACTTCTCGAGACAGATCGCCTTTCCGCGCTGGCTCTCCCCTGGCACCTTCGCCGGCTCATGACTTCAGCAATGCTGCGTTCGCACAAAACATGCCATTCAACTCAGCCCAGCGCATGCGCGAGCAGAACAAGGCGCAGCACGACGCGCAGTTCATGCAACAGCAAATGAGTCAGCGACATGAGCCTGAGACCCCAAAGACAATTTCGCCCAAGGACGCTATTCTGGAGTTCAACGAGCCTGAGGGCGAGTCCAACTTCCCCTTGTTTCCCCAGGGTCCTTCTGGGTTTGAGATGGACCACTTTGCGAAGGGCATGGTCAACCATGGATCCCAGGATCCTTCGATGCACGATGCTAGCGCCAATGGTCACTTCAACTTCCTCCCCACGCAGGCATCTGGCATTGTTGTGCCTCAGCAGTATCCCTTCATTGCGCATCACCGCTCTAACAACGAGACCCCTCCCCGCCTGAGCTCCGCTGGATCCAGCTCCAACGAGTCACGAAACACCACCCCTGCAACCCGTCCCAGCAGTACTACCGCAGACGGAGGCACCTACACATGCACATACCACGGATGCACTCTGCGATTCGAGACTCCTGCGCTTCTCCAGAAGCACAAGAGAGAGGGACACCGCCAAACACAGGCTCTGGGAGGTGCTCGTCCCCGCGACATGGGCATGACCTCGACTCTGCTGAACAGCCAGGCCGGGCCCCATCGCTGTGATCGGATCAACCCGAGCACGGGCAAGCCTTGCAACACAATCTTTTCTCGGCCCTATGATCTCACTCGTCACGAAGACACGATCCACAATGCCCGCAAGCAAAAGGTACGCTGCGATCTCTGCACCGAGGAAAAGACATTCAGCCGGGCGGATGCCCTGACGAGACATTACCGGGTGTGTCACCCGGATGTGGAGCTCCCGGGCAAGCACCGGCGACGCGGCGGCGCCTGAAGTGGGCGTTGAGCGGCACGCAAGGCTGGCATATCCCCGTCCCCGGACAATTGACTCCTTCCACCGGCCACCCCCTGCCTCGCTTTACAACATCCAGATGCCAGCAGAGCTGGGACCGACGGGTCTTCTCACGCAACAGATGATGCTGCATGACGTGGACCACGGTCGAATTAGGCTTGGCATTGGTGGACCGGTCGATGCGAGGCTTCAACCTGCTTGAATTGGGTTGGCTGAGGGCAAAAAAAGCGACAGGGCGGCCGGGCTCCAACGCGGGCGGGTGGGTCTCAGGGTCCTCATGCAGGAAGGGTCCTCCCAACTGACGTCATGGGCTGCCCATCAACTCAGGCTGTGACATCACTCGCCCCGCCCGACCTGTCTTCAGCCATCAGCATCACTCCCCAGCACTCCTGATGATGACATGGCGTCCGTCATGGATACGGCATGCTCATTCTGGAGCACCCTGATCCCGAATTTTCTTTGTCTGGCATCTAATCGAAGGGCATGGAAGCAACGCTGGGTGTACTTCCATCGGCCCTGATGTAACTTGTACATTATTTACAAATCCAACAAAACAATTACACGGAATGGCCACGGCACAGCCCCAGGCTCGACTTGGCCGGCCGGGAACGCCTGGGCTGTGCTTTGCGATATTGGAAATCATTTGGGAATCGGAAATCGGAAATCGGAAACCGGTCTAGACAAAAAAACAAACGAGCGAGAGGGTCTTTTTACAGCGTCTTTGTCATTCAATTTTGCTTTGCAATTGGGTATCCTCTATGGATTGGTCTGCATTTGGTGCTTTGGTCTGTTTGTTACACAGGCCGTTTTGGACTGTCTATTTTTGTCGGCAGCGGATGCTTGATCCGCATGCAAGAGCGTGTAACGGCGTGATTTTGGGTCATGACTGCAGGTTGGAAACATTATTGGGTCATACGATGTCATGACACTGGAGAAACGACCAAGAGCGGGTCGATCAGCTTGAACTTGGTTTTCGATTTCCTTGGCCTTTAGGAATTTTGCATGGGTTCTAACCCAAAAACTATATCCATAGATGATGATGATGTATGATATAATTAAAAGAAGGATTGGCAACTTACAATTGAACCCTGTCTCAAACATGCATTGTGTGCTTGGCTGTCCCGTAGAAGCTCTACGTGTTTATCGAGGCGATGGGGCATGAATCTTCGAACCATCCACCCCTCAGATCTCCAAAAGGCTGATAAACGGTTGACGCTAGCCCTGTAGATCCAAGCCCCATCGAAATCGATGATTGATATGCGTTTGATGATGGAATAGAGCTGGGGCTAGAGCTTCCAAGCTTCCCCGGTTAGCGATCTGCGCCGAGCTCATGTTCCTCGATGTTGTCACCGTTCCTTGGGGACCGAGACACATTACACAATGAACGAGCCACACCCCTTGTGACGTCGCCAAGATTTGCGCTTGGATGAGCGCATCGAGCTTGAGGTTACTTGATCGCTGTTTTGGGGTAGAATGACGATATCTTGCATTTTGCGCACGCCCTAGGGGAGCAGATCCAGAGACACCTGCAGCACGTATGTGACTCTAGAAGGGAAAGGCTTCCCATCGAGGCTGCCATGGCAGGGGAACAAAGTCTCCTTCTTGACGCAATCCCCGCGCTGGAGGTGGGATGCTCTGGCGGGGGCTATCGATAGTATTGTGTTACGAACAACGTCACATCTTGAGATTTGCTGATCTAGTTTCACTTACAAATGGCATGTTGGACCATGCAACACATTACAGAGCGAAGAAAAACCTGCCTCATACTACTGGACAAACTGTCTATTCTGAATATTTCTCTATATCCACCTTATTTTGTGTTTTTGCAATCTACATGGCAACCACACCTGTTGCCATTCTCATACTTGATCCATTCACTATGAGAAGTGCGCTACATCGTCATCAACAGAGTTACCCACACGCACCTAGTCTTGTTGGCTTTGAACGTTGTAGACCCTCTATAAACCGAGGACGGCCGAACGAGCGTCACGGTACAAAGGCGTGATGCCAGTCCACAGTTCAAACTAAGAGAACATGTTAGCTACCTGGCTATACACTTGTGGTTGCAAAGGTGAACTCACTTGATACCAACCCTGAGACGCCAGAACCTCCAGACCGGGGACAGTGGTCCAGTTGCCTGCTTCGTCCGCCAGCTGCATAATCGGGGTGTGGCTAGGCTTGTAGGCCATCTCTAGAAGAACACGACGCTCTGTGCCCACAGCCGGTCGGCTGAGCAAAGCACCGACGAGCTCTTGGAGACTTGGGTCAATGGGCCGATCAGCTGGGATAGTGCTGATGACGACATTGAGGTTTGAAGACACCTTGTCAGCGTCCGAAGGCTGGCTCAGACCTTGCAACTGGTACTCAGCTGGGAAGTCAGCTGCGAGCGCGTCCACCTTGGCCTGGTTTCGTGCCGCGATGTAGATTGGACCAAAGCCGAGGGAATGGAGGGCAAAGATGGCGGCTCGTGTAGTACCACCTGACCCAACCACCATGGCCGCTCCCTTGGTCTCGGAATCGGCCTGCTCCTCCACTCCTTCGTCACGAAGAGCGTGAACCATGCCCCTCCAGTCCGTGTTGTCTCCCAGGAGACGTCGACGGTCACTGGCATCAGCCTTACCTATCGGCACAACAGTGTTGACTGCGCCAATCGTACGTGCTGCCTCCGAGAGCTCGTCGACTTGACCCATGACGTCCAGCTTTAGAGGGATGGTCACAGAGGCGCCTCCAAAATCAGGTGCCTGCAGAACTTCACGAACATCTTGGATGTTGTCCGTCTCCAAACGGTGGTACTGGTGAGGCAAGCCTGTCTGTCCGAACAGGGTGTTGTGAAGCGCAGGTGACCGGGAAGCTGAAATCGGCTTTCCAAACAAGTAGAAGTTGCATGGATCCAGGTCACCCAACAACGCCAGACCGCGACGGATCTCGGCCGCCGACATCTGCCCAGGTGCAGCCTTGAAGGGCAATGCAGGGTGGGAGACTGGCGTCAAGAACTTGTTGAGCACGCGGCTGAGCTTGCCCGCCTTACCCATGTTCATGGCGATCATGGGTGTCTTCTGTGCCTCCTGCATTCTGCTCTTGAACTTGGCGAGATCAAAGTTGTCTTCGGAGCTGCGCGCGACGCCAACGAGCTTGATAATATCACCAAACTGGAGGGCGCGGTTGTAGAATGGAATCCAAGAAGCATTCTTCCACGACATGGTGCCCTGGGGGTCATGGTGTGAAGCAATGATGCGTGAGTGACCGCGAGACTCCGTGACGGTCTGGATGATGTTTTCAGGCAACGTCATCTCGACATCGACATACTCCATGCCCATGCGGAGAGCCAAGCGGTAAAGCTCAAGGCCTTCCTCGTAGGCCTCATCCGGGAACTTTCCACCCTGAGAGACGGTGCGTAGAGTGAAGACAATGGGCTTCTTGGCCAGGGCACGAAGAATGGACACTTGTCGTGTGACTGAGTCGACAGACCGATCCTGAAGGAGATCAACTCTCAACTCAACCGCGTCGGAACCGACAACAACTTCCGGGATCAAGCTAGCCGCCTCGCTCACATCGGGAACGGTCAGAGAGACAAAGAAACTGTGGTCCTTCTCCATCACATCCTTGAGATGCGTGCTTCTGCCAGAAATGGAGGACACGAACTGCTGGAAGTCACACGGAATCTCGCTCTTCGATCCAGAGGACTCCGAGTGTGGGCTGTAGTAGAGAAGGTTGCTGCACTCCTGATAAAAGTCTTTCCGGCGGAGATAGACTTCTCGGATCTCGCTGGTGTAGGCCGGGCGAGTCTTGTCTCGCATCAGGTACTCCACCACCTGTTCTGTGTCACGATGGATGAGCAGGACATTGCCACCATTTCTGCCATAGTCCTTGAGGAGCTGCCTGGCCTCGGGCGTTTCGACAAGGCCACCGCCACAAGAGAAGATATGGCCATGTGAGTTCTTCGCCATCACGTCCTTCAGAAGAGACAACTCGTCTGCTCGGAAACCTTCCCACCCACGGCTGCCTCTGATCATCTCGGGAATCGTGCATCCAGCCCGTCTCTCCAGCTCTTGATCCAGGTCGATGAATTTCCAACCCAACATCTTGGCCATCCAGTTGCCAGCCGTAGTCTTGCCAGCGCCCCGCATCCCAATGATGAACACTGAGCGCTCCATAACCGAGCTCTTGCTATCCTCCTCATCAGCATTGGCGTCTGGCTCGTGACCAATCATGTCAACCTTGAAGGCCTGCGACAGGATGTCCCACCAGCCAGGCCATGTTTTGCCCACACACTCTCGTTCAGTGACGATGACGGGGCTGGGTGATGCAACTGCAAGTACACTGAAGCTCATGGCAACACGGTGATCATCATAGCAATGGATGCCAACTGTTGGTGCTGAGATGCCACCGTCCTGTCCTTTCCCGAGAACCTCAATACCATCATCAAGTTCGTTGCACTGAACACCAAACTTGGCCAGCTGGTCCTTCATGGCCGCAATTCGGTTACATTCCTTGACTCGCTGGTTGGCAATACCGGTGATCTGTGTTTTCCCGGAGGCCACAGCAGCCAAAACTGATGCTGTAAGAAATGCGTCCGTCATGGGTTCCATATCAACATGAGGCAACCCCTTTAGCTCACCAGGTGCAGGACCAGTGACTGTGGTGGAGTAGTCTGACTGGTTGACCGTGCAGCCCATAGGCTGCAACACATCAACAGCAAAGCGAGCGTCGCCCTGGAGCGACTTTGACCCAATGTTGGGAATGGTACATGTTGTACCAGTGATGGCAGCAATCGCCAAAGGATAGGTGGCAGAGCTGGCGTCGCTCTCAATGATGTACTCGCTTGGGTTCTGGTACTGGCCCTGAGGGATGTGGTAGGTGTTCGGCTCATCGGAGGAGGCAGTCACATGAACGCCAAAGGATGCCATCATAGAGATGGTCATGTCGATGTAAGGCTGTGAGATAGGTTTACCGCCCACCAGGCGTAGGGTCACCGGGTTCTTGGCATAAGGAGCTGCCATGAGGATTGACGAAACGTATTGAGACGAAACGGTGGCCGCGAGCTCGATGACACCTCCCTTGAGTCCCCCGGCTGCATCAACACGCAGGGGAAGGCTGTTTTCTTTGCCCTGGTATTCGATCTCAACACCGTTCGAACGTAGAGCATCGACTAGCGGGCCGATCGGACGAACCTTCATCCTCGCATTGCCAGTGAGGATGGTAGAGCTGGCACTTTCACTTGGAGAGCACAGAGCGACGACAGTGGTCAAGAAGCGGGATGCTGTTCCGGCGTTGCCTAGATAGAGAGCTTCCTTGCTGGCCTGGAGGTTCCCTCCCTTACCGTCGACGACCAAAACCTCTCCGGCATCCTGCCAAGAGTAGGAAGCTCCCCCAAGTTGATGAATAGCTGACAGCATATACTCAGTATCGTCCGAGTGAAGGAGATTCTTGATACGACAAGATCCCAAGCCAAGAGCTGCCAGGACCAAGGCCCGATTGGAGATGCTCTTGGAGCCCGGTGGGGTGACGGTAACATCCAAGTTGCTTGGCACACCAGGCGTCACTTGGATGGAAGGTGACAGAATAGTTCGGATCGTCTTGTCGTCGACAACACTGGCACGAGGCTCGTGGCACTTGCCGATGGCAGACAGGAGCACAATCTTCTTCTTTTGGCCATCATTCTTCTTGTCAACTCCCATCTTCTGAAGCAAGACGTCGACAGGACACTTCTTGCCAGCAGTCAATTTGACAACGCGCTTGTCATGGATTGAAGTTGGGAGATCATAGCTGGCTATGCACTTGACAAGCCTGGCGACAGCACCCGGGCGCAGAACACCTAGGTAACGGGCCAGCTCGGCTTCCTTGACCATACCGATTGCCACAGCTTCTCCATGAAGTAGCTGAGGCGTAAGGATGGCTTCAATTGCATGTCCGATGGAATGGCCAAAGTTGAGGAGGTTGCGAAGACCACCCTCACGCTCATCGCTGGAGACAACCTCGGCCTTGACACCTGCCGATCCAATGACAATGCGCTTCAGCACGTCCTTGATGGGTGTCAATCGGCCTTCGCCCTTGGATCGAACGCACTCGAGGATGTGAGCTGCCGACTCCTCCAACACGGTGAATTCGGTTTCGTTCCAAATAGCCGCAGTCTTGACTACCTCAGCCATGCCGTTGATGAACTCACGGACAGGCAGGGTCTCGAGGAAGGCCAAGTCAATGTAGATGCGCTTGGGCTGCCAGAAGGCGCCGACCAGATTCTTGCCCATTGGGGTGTCAATGGCAGTCTTTCCGCCAATGGATGAGTCAACCATGGCCAGCAATGTGGTCGGGACTTGGACAAAGCGAACTCCGCGCATGAAGGTTGCTGCGACATAGCCGATCATGTCACCCATAACACCGCCACCGAGGGCGATGATGACGGTGTCACGAGTGCATTGCTGCGAGAGCATCCAGTCTTCAATCTCGGCCTTTGTCTCCCGGCTCTTGGAAGCCTCACCCGGAGGAATTGTGTAGGTGAGCAGACGGGTCGCCTTGCCCTCGGCCGCAGCCTCGAATTGAGCTTGGAAGGCGGGTACATAGGTGTCGAAGAGGTTCGTATCGGTGATTAGGACGTATGTCGAGGTTGGGGTGTTTTGGAGGAGGTCGTCGACGACAAAGTTGAGCCAAAGGCCATGATCAACAATGATATTAGCCTCGCCCAGAATTGAGATCCTCTCGGGACCTGGCTTCTTGGCTTCCGCCATTGCGAATAGTAACAAGTCTCAGGATGGTCAAGACTTGCCTCTTCGTCAAAACGGTGCTGCAGATTGAGGTTTGCGGAAGGTCGTTTGGTTGAGGTGGGCTGTCGTCGACCACACAGGGATCCAATTATGGTCGGTGAGTAAAAAATGGAGGGGTCTCCCCGATCGCGGCGCTAGGTCTGACTCCATGACGAGGAGAGGCTAGCCAGTCAAGTACCGATTGTTCAGGTACCCCGCCTGATTGATCTGCAAGGGGCCTTCTTACAGGTACCGAAGCGAGGTACAAGGTACTGTTGGTACCTTGCCTGGCTGCCCTCTGAGAGCAACTTTAATGGTAATGCGGGCCGAATAGCGGAATGACTCAGCAGAGGATGACTCTTAGGTCCCCATGTGTGTAAGAAAGTCATATGATATCTCCTTGACTACGCGGGCCTGTGGGGATTAAAAAACACGAGACTAGCCTATCCTACCTTTAAATCCTAAATGCCTTAACTTATTATAAAAACAACTATTATATCTTTTAATAGCGCTAAGAATTATAAAATAATAAAATAAATACTTAATAATACCTTTTATCTTAGTTAATAAAAGGTATTATTAAGTTTTTAAAATATTATAAGGTTTAATATTAATTCTTTTTAAAGCTTTTTATAAGATAATATGCCTTAGAGGCTAAATTAAAATAAAATTATAAATAAAGGTTTTCTTAATTAATTAATAGCCTTAATAGTTATTTTATATTTTTATAATTATATCTTTTTATTATTAAAACTATTATTAAAACTATTATTATTACTTATTTATATATATCTTATATTTAATTAAATAAATTTAATAAATTAAATTTAAAAAGTTTTTTATTACTAAGTCTAATATTATTAATTAATTTTAAATTTTTAAATTTATAACATTTAATATTAATCTCTAAGATTTATAATATTAATTCCTTTTATAATTTAATATTTTATTATTAAACTTATTATTAAAATTACTATTATTTATATATTTATATAAGCTAATATTTATATATTATATATTTAATTAGATAAATTTAATTAATTAAACCTATAGATTTCTATTTATTACTAAGTTTTAATTTAGCGCTAAGCCTTAGCGCTAATACTTTTTAAGTTTAAACTCCGCCGCTAACTCTAAGAACTAATCCCTCTAAGTAAACCTATAATACTAATAACCTTAATAATCTCTATTTCCTAATATTACTATATAGCTAGATCTTAGTTAGCTATAAGACTTTTTTAATCTTTATTTAATAATATAAAAAGTCTTAATACTTATTATAAATATTATAAGCTATGCTATATATTAATTATTTTTTATATTTATAAGGAAAATATTTTTTTTAATAATAAGATCTTTTTTTTTTTATGTCTATTTTAAAAGCCTTTAATAAAAAAAGCTCTTTTTTAATAAAATTAATCCTTATATAGGTATAAAAATTAGATATAAAAAGGTTAAGTAAAAGAAGAAAAAAATTATAATTAAAGATTATAAGCTTAATTAATATTAGATTACTAAGCGATAGGCTTAAATTAATACTTTAAATAACTCTATATAAGATTATCTCTTATAGCTTATTATAGGTATTTTTTATGCCTTTATAAAGCTTATAGACCTCTTCGGTAAAATTATCTTAATTATATAAGAAGGCCTATTAATAGGTATTAGCCGCGCTATTATAATTATTTAATTAGAGGTCTCTATAAAAGGTAGCTATTATAATCTTATTTTATATTATTAATTAATTAGCTAATTATTAATTAATTATAATTATTAGTTATAGTTAAACCTCCTCTTATAAGGATAATAGAAGTATAATCTTTTAAGATTTATATCTCTTTAAGTAATTAAGAATTATAAGGATAATTAGAAGGTTAATAATAGAGGGGAGAGCTATTATAGGAAGAGGTTAGA